GATACAAAGAATCACAAGTACTTAAAAACTGAAAAATAGCCTCAAACCTAGCTAGAATAAAGAACCAAAACATTATCATCTATTTGCAGATATCTATTTCATGTGGTCAATGATTTATGAATGATTATTCAATGATTGAAAATTTAATTGGTATACAATTGAAATGAATTCCACCTAGACATGATGGTGTGCAAACTGCAAGGGTAGGCAAATCATATCTAAAACTTACTCACCTTGGTAGGTACTGACACCGTATAGAAGTATACGGTGGTACTGGTGACTACATCAGCAGAGGGCTTCGAATCACACAAGTGGCTTACTTGGAATGAAATTCATTTCAATGTCCCAATGAACAATAAGAGTCATCTTGGTGATTTTGGTGAATGGCAGATCATTGTTGTTCTGGTCATTTAGTGAAATAACAAATACATTAGTTTTGTTTTGTAAACAACGAGGTATCCTTTTGTGCTGCTAATTTCGTTTCGTTACCGAATTTCTTGAAAATCCACGAAAAAGTGAGGTTAGGAAAGCCCAGTAAACACAAAGCACATTCTTCGTCTTCGTGATTGTTAAACCACATTAACCACAACCACAGTGAATTTCACGTACTCAAATGATCACTATTAAACCTACAATACAAGCAAGAATTATATTTTTGATGCAATTTGCATCAGTTCAATTTCAGAACGTTGTGGAATGTGATGCCACAAATTTCTTTAATTGATCTATATTGTGATGACGCCTGGGATGCCTCAATTTTATCACGTTGATAGAACATGTGATGAAACAAAGTTCTTTGATTGATCTCCTTTGTGATGACGTCTGAGATGCCTAAATTTTATCACGTTGATAGAACGTGTGATGAAACAAAGTTCTTCAATTGATCTGCTTTGTGATGACGCCTGGGATGCCTCAATTTTATCACGTTGATAGAACGTGTGATGAAACAAAGTTCTTTAATTGATCTCCTTTGTGATGACGCCTGAGATGCCTCAATTTTATCACGTTGATAGAACGTGTGATGAAACAAAGTTCTTTAATTGATCTGCTTTGTGATGACGCCTGGGATGCCTCAATTTTATCACGTTGATAGAACGTGTGATGAAACAAAGTTCTTCGATTGATCTCTTGTGTGATGACGCCTAGGGCGTCTCAATTTTATCACATTGATAGAACGTGTGATGAAACACTGATTTGTAGCAGTAGCATGTTATATTTTAGATGCAAGTTGCATATGTTCCAAAACGGTGTGATGAAACGAAGTTCTTTGACTGATCTCTCTTGTGATAGAGCTGAGACATGTGTGGTTAACTGGATTATTGCTCCGGTGGGGTTGCGAACCTACTCTCTCGTGATTATATAATTACGAACCTTACACCTTTACCACCGAGCTACGAACCTTTTCAATGATTGATATGAATTAATTACCAAGATGTCAACACGTACACTTCATTAGTAGGATAATACGAGACAGCTCGATCCTATAATAGGAGGTATAGGGTTAGAGGAACACTCTGTTTATTAATACAAGAATTTAACATCAATATCATAATTTGATACGATTCTGTATATTCTTAGAATATTCGAGAAGAATATAATGAAAATATGTCGAATTGAATATACGTAGAATATTAATTGGTTGCAGGATGAAAATATTCTATGATCATTTCTGAAGACATTATTCTATCAGAATAATTCTGAAATAAGTATATTTGAACGTTGTCATTCCAGAAGCTTATAGGAACGTATGTTAAGAATATCATCAGAACATTCGCAAGGAATATTCCAGGAATGTTAATAATATCCTCCACCACTAAATAGACATTATAATCTTGATGAAAATCATTTTTTGTTATTTATATATATTCAATAAATGACGCTGAGTAGCTGTAATTACAAATTTTCCAATATTTTTTTTGAAAAATAGCGTATCATATGTGATACCTTGGGTGTCGACCAATGCAAAGTTGTGGAATAATTCAATACAATGAGGAAGTTTTCTTATTTATGGAAATCTTCGGAACAGTTCCTTTCTACAGAATAACACATAAAAATCTTACGAGCAAAACATCGTGCAAAAGTTGGTTACATCCTGGCTTTTGACACCATATATGGTCCAATTTTTGCCCCTCATGAATTCTAGCAAATGAAGAGCACGTTCTGTCCTCAATTTTTTACCAGGAGTAGGCTGACCCAGCTTTATGTCGCATCAGAGCAGTCATGATCTGCTTGGTCATCACCGTTCCTTAGGTTTTTATTCTCATCTAGATAGATCATCGCATTTGCCAATGCAAATACGAAATCTTAGTAATCCATTATCTCTTTTTTGGAAACCAGAATTATTTCAGCAAAGCAGGCTTACTTCGACATCTGAATCATTGAAATTAAAATTATTATTGGCAAGTTTTTGCAACCCATGTGGATCAAGTGGTTCTGGAGAACAAAATGGATTGTATCGTTGTATGCCCAAGGTATCACCTATGTTACGTAACCTATAATATCACAATTACTACCAGCATTCAATAATATTCGCTGTTTGGACGAGTAGTTTCGATCAACAACATCTAATCAATGAATCAAATAACAAAGAAGATATTTCTGTAGGAAACTCAATGTTTCGTTGATTGCAAGACATGTCAGAACAAGGATGTGCTCAGGGACTGACCAAAAATCAATCTAGAACATACCGAGAAGTGCGCGGATACAAAGATTACTGGCGGATATCGTAAGGCGAGCAACACGTATTGCAGACGCACCTATCAAACATGATACGGACGGTACCGAACCAAATATCATCATTGGAGCGACGTTAAAAATTTTGGAACTGATGTATCATATAGGATACGCCTGAACCGAAGAGGATATTCTATAAAAATATTATTTCATGAACATTCTAGAATATCATATTTCAGGAGCTCTCGGAGAAAAAAATCACTAACCCTAAGTGAATATTTAATAGTGGCAAGTAAAAACTTGTATACTATATGGAACAAGGAAACAATAAGTTAATAACCACAAGAATATTTGTGTTCCTGAAAATGTACACCTACCACTATTTATCTGTTTCATTAAATTTCAGAGTGATAACGGTTAGTGAACACATCACTTGTCATCAGTGACCTATTCAATTGTCATTAGTAACTCATTCACTTTTCATTAGTGACTTGTTCACTAGTCATTAGTGGCCTAATTACATGTCATTAGTGACTTATCTACTAGTCATCAGTGACTTATTTACTTGTCAATAGTGACTTATTCACTTGTCATTAGCTAGTATGAAAAAATACCTAGCTTCTATATAGGAATGTACTTTCATAATATTATTTTAATATTCACATGGAACATTACATGAATACTCCTGAGATTCTGAGAACATTCTATGAATATTTCTTTAGAATATTCTACAAGATGAAATTTCGGCAGGTTGTAATAATATTCCGAGAATATTCGTGCTATCTGGGTTACGACCGCTCAAGTTTTCCGATACGAAGTATCCGTGTTGATCTTTCGCATCTTCTCTGTTACTCACAGAATATTTACCTAGATATCAAACATGAAAGAAATTATTTTTCCCTCTTCATAGTGCATTTGTATAAAAGGTTGTCTTCAAAGGGTTTTTTTTTATTTAATATTTCTTATATTTTCAGCTTTTTGGGATTTTAAGAATCATAATTTCTGACCAAGAAAACCCCCAGATACCATATTTTTGGATAGTATCGGATCATAATATTAATATTACGAAACTCGTTCGCCACATTGGAGCAGTCATCTTGAATCGCGGATCCTATATATAATCACAAAACTCGTCCATCATCTTGAATTTTTCAATTTTGACAAAAGAATCGTAATTGATGCTGACCCCAAAAACCCCCAGAAACCAAATTTGAGTAGAATCGGATCATAATTACAAAACTCGTCCGCCATATTGAGGACGCCATATTTGCCAGTTTTGACAGCAGAATAATAATCTCCGACAGAAAAATTCCCAAATACCAATTTTCAATAGAATCGGTTCATATAATTTATACATTGGAACCGCCTTTTTGGTTTTTACAATGATCATTGTCTCTCCAACAAAAATTCGGCCATTATTATAACGTATTGAAAATTTCAGAAAAATCACTCGACCGCCTACTATGATTTCTCTACGTCACAACGAGCGAGACGTTGATTCTACATTTTCCCGCTAGATGGTGATGCTACTATTGCTGCTGTGACGAGTGGAAATAAAATGGCAAATGGCATTTTAGGTACGCGGAACATATGTAACAGTGGGATTATTCAACTCTCAATTCGAAAAATCTGCGACAATCACAAAACTGACAGATGTTAAAATTGTGCAATGTCGCCATCTATTAGAAGATCGACGGAACCATCGTCAGACAGTCCAGACACGTCCAGATATTTAGCCGTCATTGCTTCCATCCATTGTTTCCATCATTCTGTACACCTACCAAATTTCAAACAAACAAGATTTGAATACTGACTCACACACCGGGTCATGTGAAACTAATAGCGAATTCGATTGGCCATTGGCAGGGTCTGGTGGAGTGTTTCTTCGGCACTCAATCTATATTTCCTTCTTACTCACATGTGTAAATATATACACTCAGTGCAGGAACACTCCACTAGTTCCTCCCAATTGAATTCGCTATGAACCCAGACGAATAAAAGAAATATAAAATAAGAGATTGAAAAACCGCCAAGGCAACGAAACGAAACTGAGCGATGGATCGTTATGTCCTCTCTTCCGCGATAAACCCCGGTGATATTTAATTCTCGCTTTAAAGACACATCAACGTATTACTAGCCACCGCGAAAAAATAGCACACGTTTTGCGACTGTCATTTGCATTTGACTCATTTGTCAGTCATTGGTCAGTCAGTAGTCAGTGTAGTGGTAGTGTCATAAAAATCAAAACAAAGAGTTGGATCAGAATTCAGACGTACAGCTGATTGCCATACATTCACATATATGACTTCATAATATTTTGATTCACAATGCCTTGGTGGCAAAATATAGTTCCAGACGGAATAAAGAAAAATGTTTTGGCCTATCTGTTGGAGAGGTACCTTGGACAATTCATGGAAGAAAAGTTGTCTAGAGACCAGCTGAAAGTTAATCTTTGGGATGGCACTGGCACTGTTGAGAAAATTAGCCTTGATATTCAGGTATACAATACAACGTGGTTTTATACGCATTTAATATCCATTGTTTATTTATTTTATAATCTATAACAACAGTTTCCAACCAAGGTTCCTAGACCAAGGTTAATGATGTATCTATCTCAGTATGATTCAAAATTCAAATGGTGCTATAGGCTTTTCCATATATTATTTGATTTCATTTCATTCTGAGATGATATGATTATGATGGTATTTGTATATTATGTACATACCTACCTACAGGTCAGTCAATGCATTGTAGGAAATGAGAGAAAAACAAATTCATTTCAAGAAGGATCTTGGATAGGATGGCAATGATTGAATGCAAAAAATAGAAAACTGTAGTAGGAACATATGCAATCACTCACCTCAATTTGGTCTCCATCAACCTATGAGTCTCACATTATATAGGTCTTGATGATTTTCTTGAGTTTTTGAGAAATAGGGTAGTTTAAGTCAAATCCTTCTAGTATGAATTCTATTAATATTCTAATTATATATTTTTGGACATACTTGCTCTTTGAATTGCATATTGTGGAATGTTGAATATGATGTATTTATTTATCTTATGATGAATAAACTCAGTAATGCAGAAGAAGTAGGTAGCATTTTTATCTCTGGGGCTTAGGAAAGGTAATCCTAATAATGTCCAGATAACATCATGAGCACCTAGGGAGTATAGGGAAAGGAGGTAGGTATTGGATTTTCTTCAACTTTTGGATGTTAAGAGCTTCTTATGTGCATGAGCTTATGTCTTTTTAGAAAAATGATTTCTGCATGGATTTCTATGGATCTAAGAAACATGAAAAAAAAATGTTTCATAACCCTTCTATATCTACTTAGTCCGACTTAGTCCTTGAATTTGGCCATTGAATGTTAATCAAGATGTTAATCATGATTAAATCATTGCATATCAAGTTGTATATATTTGGTTACAGTGTGAAGTTATTTTTCACTTGGCAGTCAAATTTCAAGTATCCTATGGGAGGTATCTTTTTTGAATTATATCATTTTTGGTGGACTTTTTGTGAGCACCTATACAGGGTGTTAATGAATAAGTGCAACAAACCTCAGGGGGTGATTCCTCGGTGATTCCTTGTGATATTCTAGGAAAAGAAGTTCATATAACATGTTACATGTTGTTCTAACTCACTTAGTGTTACATACAGGGTATTCATATTGCCAGGAAAAATCATTTGTGGTTGTGTTAATAGTAACATTAAGCTTCTTTTGGTGTAATTAGATTCAAAATAAAATTGCCAGTGATGTCACAGTGGGTTAATTAATTGATATTTATGGTTTTTCTGAGGTCCATTCCTTTAAAACATTGAATAATTGTAATAACAACTTTCTTGTTTATTTTTTTAGTTTGGCATCTGGCTTAGTTTTTGAGAAAACAATAAAAACTCGATTTGAAAACCTCAAGAATTATTTTTTGAAATTTTGGGACTTTGTCAGTCTCCAACCATACTGAATTTTTACCAAGATTTTGACACCATGAAAGCTTATACACTGGACAGGGGGGCTATAAATGAAAACAATTAATACTTCCAACTTCAACATCCTGTAACTCAAAAAACAAGCAAGTTTGTCACACTTCTTAACAAACTCTCTGTATACAGGGTGTCCGGAAAGGTCATGTCATAAATGATAAGGCTGGCCCGATACCCTGTGGCACCCGGGTATTTTGTGGGATATTTTCAAAAAGCTGTTCAAAAGGTCTATCCAATAGTGAGGAAATATAGAGGATGTTCAATTTAAAATTCATGTACTTTTTGCTGCTCCTTGTATAGTTTTTCAGGTAGTGAAAATATATCAGTTGATTCCAGATGAAAATAAATACCCTGTGAGACTGTTTATGAATTTTTTTGCACTCTCAAAAATAAAAGAATTATAAGAGTTGGTACTTTATAACTTGTCACCTGGTACAAGGTATACCAAAATTAGCGTGCAATATTTCGAACTTATTCTGGAACAAAAGATGCAAGGACTTAATTCCAATTGAATGCACCATTCACCTAGGAATTCGATGTGGAAACATCATATCATGATTTATGCATACCTTATCAAATTAATAAAATGTTATCTCAGCTTATCGAAATATTGTAGAATTTTGTGTTGTGTTGGTTTTTATTTGATTTCAGTTGCTTGACTCATCATAATACTGATAACAGCACTAGCACATTTTTTAGATTTCATTCAGAATTTCCAAGGGCATACTTAGTAAGCAAGTCGTTTGTTTATTTGAAGAAAAAATAGCACCATGTAGTTTGTCGCAGTTTGCATCAATTAGTAATATAACCCACTAAAAATACAACATCTTTGTCCTTTGCTTGGATTTCCAGAAAAGTTATGACGGGATTGGTGCAGTGGAAGAGCGTCCGTCTCACGACGTCTAGGTCGTGGGTTCGATTCCCAGCACGAGCAAGGAACTTTTTTCAATATTTTATTTACAAATTGAATATTGTGAAGTATCGGAGCATCGGCTGTGGATAGTCCTGCACGATTCGCTGTTGCGTTCCAATTGATAGTGCTGCTCCTAAAGTGGCGCATAGAGTTAGTAACAAAGCCTACACAGAACACGCAGAAAGATATGATGATGTGGTTGTGAGCATCAGAGAAGAAGTAGGACGTTGTATGTAGGTGGGTGTGGAAAACTACCAGCTGAGCGTGAGAGCGGGCCAGCTGCTTAGTGGACCTCGGTCTCTAACGGGGGTTAACGAGTATAGCTAGCAGGCCTGCCACTGCAGCATATGGTAGTGAGTACATTACTAGCCTACAAAACACAGCCGAAAAACTCTGAAAGAGAACTGATGGGCGGTGCCTGAAAAGAATGTTAGCCAGCTCTCTTAAGCGAATCATATCAGTCATTGAAAACACCTTGGGCTTGCAAAAAGGACCCATTTGGGACTAGTTGCTGACGTGCAAACGTCTCCCACCAGTAACAGTATGCCAGTACCAGTCCGGAAAACTTACAATACCATCTCGGCACATAACTGAACTCCATGAGGGAATTGAAAAATGTTTTGAAATTATCCAAAAATTCAACACTATGTCTTTATTTTTAACAATAAAATAAACATGGAACGAAGCTGTCATTTTTTATCATCAAAAATAAGTTTGCATTTATTAGAGATATGAGCGAATAGAAGATGCAATCATGAAATATTCACTAATATAGACACTGCATATACATGTGTGTATCTGGCATAGTACAATATCAGAATATCATTTTTTATTTTTTTCTGGCATTACATAATCATAATAAACGTGTGAAGAAATCCATATTGCTCAAACACTACCACTACCACATTTGAATGTCGTGGAGATGTTTACTCTTCCTTTATATTCATAATTTCAGAAATAAAGCACTCCTCATATTGAGGGGTCTTCTCAGTCTCAGACCATCATGTTCATCATGAATGAAATCCCTTCAGAAGGAATTTGAAGTGATAGACTGGGAGAGACCTTGGATGACTTATTTTTTCCTATGGTTGAAAATGGACATGTCCACATTGAATAAAGAAACGCAATGTTTGTTATCATCTGCTTCTGAGATCTTTTTCACCGACATACCAATTGTCTAGACCGCTATGTCATTTCCCAGCAACCCGAAAATCCCATCCAAATTGCTAGTATGAAAATGCAAGGTCCATATTATTATTCATGACATCGTTTTATATGTTTTATATGTCACTTGGTGATCGGAAACATGAGTGATAAAAGGAAGCTACTTAATGCGCATACTCCATGGGATCCAATTCGATTTCGTAATTGATCACCTTTCATCTTATGGCATCAGCAGCTTGATGGTGGGTTATGCCGTGATTTTTATAGAAAGAACTAGATCTCATGACCTATCTACATCACAAGTTACAGGCATTCCATCTGCTGGCATTAACTGGTACTGAGTGGATTAGGTCCAATATCGTATTCAAATAACTAGATTTTATAATTAATATATCAAAGATGAATAGAGTTGCTACAATAGTCCACTTAGTATGATATAGCACCACTTGTCAGCGTAGTGGACGATCTGAATTTTCATTATATTGTAATATGTGACGGAGGTGTTGTACATGTTGGCTATAGTTAACATCTACCGTTTTTCTGTTCTAAGCCACTAGATGACAATTATATGGCGATATCCTGATTTAAATTCCGGCCTTTTGATTTTCACGTTCCATACTATTCAGCAGTTTGTAGGCTTTAGAAGGAAGATATCAGAGAGTAGAACGATGATATCGTTGTCATTAACAACAAACACAGCCAGCATTAAATTTTGTACTCGAAGAAATCATTATTGAAAATCAACACATTATCTTCTGTCAGTTCACTTAATTGTAAAATTAGGTCGTTTCGAACATATAAATATAATTTGGATACTCTGTAGGTTTAGCGAGCAGACAAAAAACTAGAGAAAATACGTAATTTTCATTGACTAAAAATCGTTCATCTTCGTCTACGGCCTTGGTGATAGGTAATTTTTCCACCACTAGCTATAGAACCTACAATTATTTACTCCTTTTGAAGGCGTAAAGTGTGTTTTTACTACCAAGGTAGTTTTCGTCATATTATGAACCACTAGCCAATAAAGACATAGCCACCTCTGTTAAATTAACCCGAATTCACTGTTCTTATGCGATATTCACAGGAATGGCACTCGAATCTAATAGTAGGTATTTATCAATAACGTCTTGTCATATGCTGTCATGGTGACTAAATTCTAATTAGAATTGAAAAGAAGTGCTGTCATAGTGACATAGGTCCACATTTCAGTTTCACATAACTATAAAGATTGAAATATATTGCTAGTGGTGGAAAAAATTCAATATACACCTTGGTAGTAAAGAATATTATTACCACGAGACCTTATACCACTCGGCTGTGGCCTCGGAATATATTCTTGGTCCCTGGGTAATAATGATAATCTTTTTTACTTTGGTGTATAAATAACTATTATTTGCTACTATGGCACCATCGGATCGATAGTGCTCTCATGTACCGGGTGTTTCATAAATAAATGTGCGAAGGGACGTCACATAACCTATTTGTCATTTACGTCAATTAATATTTTTTAGGCCCTCAATGAGTTGGGTGAAAAACAGAATTGGCCTATGGAATTTGTGGACGGTTACATTGAAAAACTTCAGTTGATCATTCCATGGGCATCTATATTGAAAGACCCAAGTTTTGTAGAAGTCAAGGGACTGAAGATCACCGTTCAGCCAAAACAGCGTCATGAATCAGGTAAGATCGAAATAAATACTGTCACAGTAAATGGGTTTCTCAAACCATAGATAGAAATACCACATGTACTGATGGAAGTGCATCTTCATTGTAGCCACATCCATGTTTGAGTCAATGTGGAATTCCATGACAAGTTCTATGCAGCTTGCAGAGGAATGTGCAAAGCAAGACGCGGCTAATACTGATAATCCGACCCAATCCTATGAAGGATTGGAACTATTTGCACAAACTATAGATTCGAGTAAGTAATCTTCATAGCCTTCTGGGTGACATGAGAAACATTGAGCATTCATTAATTATTATAGAATTAAGATTATACCTTCCAAGCTATCAACATCGAGCTCATGAAATACCTGGAACATTCAGGAATTATCAACGATAGGCAATATGGCTTCCGTCATCAACTGGTGACCTGCTCGCTTACGTCTCACATATATGGCAGCAATCTATTGAAGAATATGGTGAAACTTTAGCCGTGGCACTTGATATCTCCAAGGCATTCGATCGAGTCTGGCACCACAGACTCCTCGCCAAGCTTCCATCTTATGGCTTGCCTCCCCAGCTATGTTCTCTCTCTCCATGTAGTCGACGGAGTTTCTTCTGACTCTCTTATTACCATAAATGCTGGTGTTCCGCAAGGATCAATTCTAGCATCAACACCATTCCTACTCCATATCAACGATTTGTTGGAAGCAACTTCATGTCCAGAACACAGCTTCGCGGATGATAGTATCCTCCATACCGCCTTCTCTTCCAGGGCTCCAATACCAGCCAGGCAAATCAAAAACGAACGAGGGAGAAATGTTGACAACATAAATATGGACTTGGCAACAATTCTCGAATGGGGATCCAATAATTTGGTAGATTTCAATGCAAACAATACACGAGCATGCCTTTTCTCTAGAAAAGCCGATCTCACTGTACCCAACATAAGCTCGTCAGGAGTAACCATACCTTTGAAGATATCCATTTTGATGCTTGGTATTACTATCAGCAATAACCTTTCTTGGGAAAATCACGTGAGATCAATTGCTGAAAGTGAAAGAAAAACTTGGTTTTCTGTTTCGGGCCAGGAGCTATTTCACTTCCAGTCAGCTGCTTATGATCTATAAGGCACAGATCCGACCTGTCCTGGAATACTGTCCCCATATTTGGAGTGCAGCACCCATACCCCAAAATTGTTAGATTCTGTCTAGAAAAAGGGCAATTCGTCTCGTAGGTGATGCCTCGCTCACAAAATCACTCACTTCTCTGGAACACCGTAGAAAAATTGGAGATATGGCTCTAATTTATAGATATTTTCATGGACGATGCTCTTCTGAAATATCAACAATTGTTCCTCCCTTGGCATTCCCCTCGAGATTAACCCGTCGAGTTGAGGCTTCGCATCTCTTTGTGGTCACTTTGGAGACCTGCAGAACATCTCTCTCCAAAGACTCGTTCATCCAACGAACAGCGAGGCACTGGAACACATTGCCAAGGGAGGTGTTCCCTGAGGCATATAACCTCCAGAAATTTAAGAAGAACACCAATTCCTACCTTATTTCCCTTGGTTCTCACGATGTTCAAAAATCAGACAAACTGCTCTATTGATTAAAACTTTTACTACTAGGCCAAGTTGTTTTTTTATGAACATGCATCAAATATGGCTAGTATAACAGAATAAGAATAACATTACTAAAACTATGATAATAACAGCATGTCCAGGAAGTCCTAAGCCTTTCATCCTGATCTTTGCAATGGAAAAAAACTGAAAAGATTATAAAGCAGTACTCTTGTTCAGAATGGAAATGCTTCATCTCCAGTACTCATGACAATTGGCCAAAATGAGAATTCGCTGACAAGGGGTATACCTATAGCTGCTAGATTCTGAAGGGATCGAGCAATATTCTAAAATTGAAAATTGAATATTGAAGTAAACATTTATCTAGTAGCAATATTCTTCATATTATAATATAATGAGTGACCCAGAAATTATTGTAAATTGTCTGGGTAGTCATGAAGTCTCTCTAACTATTTGGAATTGTCTACAATGATGTCAAATGTCGAATGTAAATCAAATTTGCATGACTGTGCCTTGTACCGGATCATTTATGTAGTTATTTTAATTCATTCACTGTCAGTCGGAATTGCAATATCGCTCTTATATTGTATCAAACATGGAAGAATATCTCAATTATTCAAGTGAGAACTGTAAAATAATACTTTCATTAACTATTTATTCTGAAAGATGTAAAATTGGCGTGTTATTTATACTTTAGTTGAATAGTGGACCCAGAGCGCAATAACAGTTTACCGGTGCATCATAGCCTCACTTCTTATTCATGTCATGTAGATATCAAATGACACCCCCAACCACATTACTGACGCCACGCGAAATGCGGGAGCAATATCAGACATCTCAAATTCATAAACTTCATTTATCCAATTTGTCGAAGCCTAACTAGTTTCAAATATTATTTTCAGTACTGAGTAGAGTCAAAGTCAAATTCATTGATACTGTTTTCCAAATAGAACATGTACCAAAAGACAGCTCAACGGGTGTAGGACTTGTATTCGAAATTGGCATGTGAGTAGAGTCATTAATTATACCTATTAGGTATTATGAATGGATTATCACTGATTTGAATAATTACCTACTGTTTTAATTTTTAGAATTGAATACTTTGATGAGGCTTGTAATGATCCCACAAACGAAGAAGCCACAAAATTAACAAACCAGGATTCACAAAAGGCATATTTTGTCCAATCCTACACAACAAAAAAGTTCATTATACAAGGTGTGACTCTATCAACAGTAGAGTTTTCGAGTAAAGCTAGAACATTTTCGAGATCAGTCTTATTATCTCAATCCCAACATGACCAAGAAAACGATTCTTTGATCAGTGTGTTGGAAAAATGCAATCCTAGCGAAAATGACACTTTGGAAAATCCAGAGGAATGTAAGGTGCAGAAACAGACAAATTTTGAAGCTCAGCCTAATTTGAGTGAACACAGGCACGTGATCAAGTTTGGGCACTTATCCAGCACCCAAGAGGTAAAATAGATCGTAGCTCTGAACATCAGGACTGATTCATTATTTTCAGGTTAGGGTAAGGTTGAAGCAATCAGAAAATTTGAATGGACCTAAAGTTTCCATAGATGTTAACTTTGGTTCCTTCATAGTGTTTTTGTCACCTAGACAATTTCATCTCCTTATAGAAGTTGCTAATGGTTTGGCCAGTCCTGACATAGAGGATACAAGGTAATGCTAATACAATTTCAGTACAGTCAAGACAAATTTCATTGAGTTTTTGTCGTATCATGTAGTTAACCCAATTTCCTTAATTCTCATTTCATTTATCACCCTTAGAGTTATCAAACATTAAAATTGGCCAGCAATTGTATATCCCTATTCGTTATTCCTGTTCATAATCCTATTTGGAATTATCTCTGATATGGTTTTCAAGTCAATGTGATGATGATCTTAATGTAGGCAACCTATACAAATAACAATGAAATGAATGTTTCAGTGCATTTGCGCTTTTTTACTGTTTACAATATAGATTTAGAAATTTTTGTTCACGTTGGGTTCGTGAAATTTTCTCAATGGGGTATATTTTTGGGACAGCAGTATTGGATTAAATATGGTATCATTAAAGGACGATATTGAAACTCCCGAAAATAATTTCATAATTTGTCACAATTTTTCATGTGGAGATGAAGAAGGCGATGTGTTTTCAGTTTTAGTAGGTCAAGTTATCCATTCTCATTCATTGTGTTTGTAGATTTTTATTTACTCTATTTTACTAAAAAAAAATTGCTTGGAAGTCTAATTTCAATATCAGAATCAGACCTAATGTCAGACGAAAATGTAAGAGTATTACAAAATTATATTTTTTCAAGTTTTTCTTTATTGTTACATGAGTATAAGGTCGGAATAAGGATACAATATGAACTATTTTGTATCCTTAATTCATAATTTGCCCAACACTATATTTTTTATTTTTGTTTTTCAGTAATGTAGCGCCAAGGACGAAATGTGCGTCCAAACCTATGTCTGGATTAGATTTCCAAAGAGTAGAACAAGAGTTGCAAAATCACCTTCAACCATTATCAAACTTACACTTGACTGGTCTTCAAGGGACTGAGGGGTGGTCAACTGCTGCCTTAGGTGAGTGAATTTATGAGTTAGTTTTGATTCAAAGCATTTTTTTCAATTTAATAAATGAATCTGCATTACCATCAATCCAGTTGAATGCATTCATTCTTTGTATGTTTTTTTCTCAAAGTCAACATAATATCATTTCATTTGTTGGTGAGATGTGTGAAAAATAACTAGGGGGTGTAGCTTTCACGCCAATTTCTGATTATCAATCACATGTTCTGGCTCCAAATAACTGAATTGTTCTGTATTTATAAGCGATTTACCAGGTTATATTTCAAATAATTTTAATAAAAATAATTGTAAAATATAACTGAATAAGATATTGTTAAATTAACAGTTTCAACAAGTTGACATTATTTTATTGTTGGGCCTTGTCATTATAAAGAACCCTATTAGTATCAACTATTCAATTTTGATTATACATTCTTCCCCCCTGAGATACTGAAATTCCGGCGTCTTTGCGTAATTTATTCACAATACTATTCACTGTATACATTCCAAGAACTGTGGAAATAAACACCCAAATATTCGAAGCCATGGCATTTTTCTGAACAAGAGTAATTTATAGCAAGAAAGCAGGATTTGCAATCAAGTTTCTACTATACCATCTGAATAAAGTGAGACTTGTTGATATTTAAAGTAGGTTGCTGTCCAACCATCCATATTTCTAGCTTTCTCAGATGCACATTTCTGGAAGCCATCTTTTACTAATATCTGGGAACCAGAACATAGAAAAAGATTCTTTTTACAAAGTCCATGGTTGAATGAGGTGAGATTTTTCTAAAATCGATAGGTTCTAAATTGGTAAAGCCAAATAGGTCAAACCTTACTCACTCTCAGCAAGAGCATGAGCATAGTATGTATTCAGCTGTTTCGTCTTCCACACAGTCCGCTTGTTAGTTCAGACCCATCCTTCCTAGGTGTGTCTTAGACGACAGTGTCCCGTAAACCTGATTTTTTTCGTTGGTTTAGCCAGGAATGCCTTCAAATGGGTTAATCCTGGTAATTCAGACCAGTACGTGAGTCTTTTGGTTCTGATCCTATGAACCTAGATTCGGTTCCCTGTTTGGCAAGGATGTTGGCTTTCTTGTTGTCCTCCACCCCCTGATGTCCATTCACCTACAGCAAAGTAACTCTGTTGTTAGCACCCAGGGATTCTAGGGATTCAGCACAGTTCCATACAAGCTTGGAATTTATCTTGCTGGAGTTTAGTGCTTTAAGAGCAGCCTGACTGTCTGATACATTACTGATGTTCCTGTTTACTAGAGGCATATTTGTCTCTCTCTAGCACATAATTCAATTGCGAAGACCTCCGCCTCAAAGATTGTAGCATACTTGCCGAGATGGACTGAGATTTCCGTTTTCAGCTAAACACACCGGCTCCAACTCCAAGTGGGGTTTCCGAATCATCTGTGTACATTACTTGTTCGATCTCTGGGAATCGGATTGATCCTCCTACCCACTCGTCTCTCTTCGGGAAGTGGACTTCGAAATACTTTTTCACGTGTGTCTGAGTGGCCAACATGTCGGGAACCATTCCTAGAGGTTGGTGATTTTTCATTTCACATAGTATCCCGGAGTAGTCCAGCAGTCGCCCTCCTCTAATTTGATTTTCCAATGACAGGAATTGTCTGTTAAATCCAGTAAATCTGTTTGGGGTTCATTCCCCATGATTTGCCGCATACCCTTCTGAGATTCCAGAGGGAAAATCTGGCGTTGTCAATAGTTTTTGCCATGTGGGCGTTCCAAGTGAGTATTTTATCTAGGGTGACACCTAGATATTTCACCTCCGCCGCAAACGGAATGCTCCCTCCATGTAGAACAAGATGACGAAACTTATCTAGCTTTAGCCTTTTGGTAAAAGGGATAATTACAGTTTTTCGGGGGTTCACAGACATCAGCTCCCTCTCGCACACACTTCTCGTAGGCCGTTTGAGATCGTCGCTTCAAATTTTCCTCTTAGTATTAGGACTGAATCATCTGCATAGCATTGGAAATCCACCCCCTGCATGGAAAGCACGTTCAGCAGAGAGTCAACTACGAACGACCACATAAGGGGGGAAAGTATCCCACCCTGTGGACAATCTTTTGTCGCTCTAAACCTGATCGACTCTTTATGCAGTGATGATATGACGTGCCGATTTCCAATCATGGTTCTGGTACTGTTGCAAAGTTGACTGCTGATTCCTCTACCTTGCATTTTCATATAAAGTGATTGTGGTAGGACATTTTTGAACGCTCCTTCTATGTACAGGAAAGCTGCCAGTGCAATATCCGTATGATCCAAGGAATGGCTGATCTTTTCTACAAGATTGTTTAGTGCTAAATCCATAGATTTGCCTGTTTGGAAGGCATGTTGATGGCGATTTAGAGAATGTTTTCTCAGATTCCACTCTCTAATATGCCTGTCTAGAATCCTTTCTAGAGATTTCAATAGGAACGAGGTAAGGCTGATCGGTCGGAAGGATTTTGGTAGGAAGTGATTCACCTAGCGGAATATAGCTCCACGCCAAACTCGCTCGGAATAATTCAACCAGAAGAGGAAGTCAAACGTATCTTCCCTTTTGTAAAGGGGCAGGAAAAACTTTGTGTTCCCCCGGAGACTTGGATAGATGACCACCTTTGAGGCATTTTCCCAGTCCTTCTTTTTTTGTCTTATTATCGATCCCATTGGAAGTGGGATTTGCTGCCGGTCCTCCAGAAGCAGACTGCCAGGAAAATGAGTCTGTAGCAGAATCTCTAACGTTTGCCTACCAGAGTCCGTAAAGGAGACCGGTCGGTCGTTTTATCGAGCTGAGCTCTGGCGAGAGCCTTGTGAATTCTCATGCTAGCAGGTACATCTGATATACTCTGACAGAACCTCCGCCAAGAATCTCTCCCGGATTTCCCTATCTCTTTGTTATAAGCCGTTAGAGATGTGCGTTAAGTGTCCCAGCAACCTGTTTCTATAGTTTGCTTGAAGAGACGTCGACCTTCTTGTCTTTTTTGTCTAGGTTCTTGCTCCACCAAGGTGTACCTCTGTGGTCTTTCTTCTCCTTTAATGGGCAGTTTTCCTGATAAGCCGTTAGAATGGCGGTTGCTACTTGCTCGTTCGCCACTTCGATTTCGACTCTATTTTTAAAAGCACTGATACCGTAATCCAGGTGCTTCTGGAGATATTCACAGTACCCATTCTAGTCAGTGCACTTAGGATGACAAAATTGTACTATTGGTCGGTATCCTGTTCTAATGTCAAATTGTATACTAAGTACACTGTTTAACCACTAACCAAACCGATATTTTACGCCTCGACAAGATTAAAAGTTTTAATCCCCCCTTCCGTGAATGTTTCTTAGAAACTCATTAAATCTGGGCTTTCCTTATTCTCTTCTTCCAATTTCAATGAAAGTTCAAAATTTCGGATTCGAATTTCAACTGACATCTGCTTGACATGACAGCACTGAATGTGACAGAATTCAAACATTTTGTCAGAATCAATAAAGAAAACAAATAATTATATCCAATATGTCAAAAGCAGCGCTCAGCGTAAAATGGTCTATTCTACTGTCCGATTGAGATCGCGATTACGCCACATCCGTAATATCAATCAATGAAATGTTCAAGTGTTGATACCTCCGTTATTTTGCATTGATTTCATATTTGTACTCGTCAAGATTTTGTATTTTTTTTTGTGTTCAAAAACATACCTATTGTTGTAGATGAAAGTGATACAGAGGAAAACTTCTTACCAATGAAAAACACTGTGAGTGCAATGTATGACAGTTCTCTGTCTGGAGTCTACAGCAGTATGGAATCCAGCGTCAGTTCAAGCATGGCAAGTTCTGTTACAGAACATACAAATCGTACTAGAAGAAGATGTTAGTAAACCAGAAATAAATTACAATTCTCTGGTACCTTCAAGTATTCAACAATCTTTCGATTTCAGTGAATAATTTAGACTCGGACCCTACTGCTGAGATATCACACTTTCAAATCAGATTTGCCTCTTTAGCTCTGATTTTGTTGCACGAAGATTTGCTCATTCAACCAGTTGAAAGCGGCCAATTATTGGTGTCATCTAGCGTCCATCAGATGCAGCAAACGGTCGAGAAGTTTTTCAGCAACCTCGGACATTTCGTACTTACTGCGTATGGGAATAAGGATTTCGAAAATGCTAAGGATATCTTCAATAAAGCCTGTTCTCTGAATCATCTGAGGTAGAAAAATGTTTCATAGTGTTGGTAAAAATTGATGTCTCGGCTCTATTGTAAGAGAAATTATAAGAAAAATCTGTGGAGAGATTCTCTGTCGGATTAGATTACCCTAGGTCTAGGCTTAGACCGCCAAATACATTTTTAGCGTACTAAAAGGAAAGATAAAAAATTGTATCTTCCGTTAAAAAAATTAGAAGAAACTTGTGAAAAAAATTATCCTAAATTCGTTATCGCCACATATTTAACAAGTAGCTTATGGAAACAAACAACGCAGTTGCAAAAAAGTGTTCACCAAGAAAATAATAGTTTTTTCAGGAATGAAAATATTATTCATTCAACTGCTTTCAGAAAAATCCGCGAATCTAAGAAGAAAACTACTAATTACCAGAATTTCAAAAATCATCAAATATTTCTCACATGAAAATTATCCCCACGCCCATTACAGACTAGGTTTTACCCATACAATCTGCGATGAAGAAGTTATCTTAATCAATCCCAATCTCATCAGATTTTTTCTAACTTTTTCCTTCTCACATACTGGGTGATCTGTGTATGTCTGCCATCTGAGAAAGGGCCTGCAAAGTTTAAGATCCATTCGAGTGAATTCATGACATTTATCAAATTGAAACTTGCGATGAAACGCCACTGATTAACTGAAGGATTCCGCAATTCTTGGGAATACTTCCTAAGGCAATGCATTTTGATGAAATGGGTTGTCATCAGTTGAATTGCTCTTCTCTGGATGGAATCTAAGAGCATCAGCGTATCTGGCGAACCCCATATGTGGGAACCGTATTCTAGAACAGACTGTATCTGTGGTTTAGTGGTTTGTAGGGCATGTTCAACATTAGAACAATTTCTTTGACTTCCTTTCAGTGTTGTTGTGCTTTGTTGTGTTGTAATCTGCAACAGTGAAATTTACTTTAGGTATTTTTGAAAGCAATTGTAACCAAATAGTCACTTCCATCCCCACCAGCTTAGCTGTCAGTCCCAAGTCTGACAAAGGGGATTACTACTATAGTTACTAGTTGGAGAGTATTTCAATTCCTAATTTTTTCGAGTTTTGTTTCAATTCAAAATTATTTGAACTTTATTCAGTAGGGTAAACTCACTGAATAATTCTTCGCATTCTCATTCAGATCACCCTGTATATGAGCCGAGACATAAGGGATATTTCATTCGCATTCCCCGTTAAACCCGATTAGATTATTTAGGTGAAGTGGGTGGGAGGCAACTAGGTAATAATTACGTCATTAACAATGTTTGAATCCCTATTTCTTTCACTTTACCCATTTCCACAGTTTATGACGTCACGGTTAAACAATGAAATGGGATCATCAGCTTTAACCATGACGGGTAATGTGAATGAAATATCCCTAATGAGTTATATCCAATTACTTGGTATATGCATCCATATCAAATGCATCTTAGCATTAACCCCCTTTAATGTACACATTTTCCAATAATTGAATGTTTTAGACTTCTGGCTGCTCCTATTCAGATCGAAGGAGATGAGAAAACGACCAACTCAGCGTTCTCTGTATCAGGTCATTTGACAGCTTCAAAACTAGAAGTCTTTGAATGCCTTTATAATACGCCCGAATGTGCGGTAGAAATAATCTCCATCCTCAAATTTATTGAAAATAATTCGATTAACATGGCCAACTTGGGTTCGGTGAAACCTAGTCTCAAAGTTAACTTCAAGCATGTTGAAAAAACTTCTAAACATGCCACAAGAAGAAATGCTGGACCCAAAACCGATATTTCGTAAGATTTTATCACTACAAGTAATTGATCCTATGTTGTTATTATATAATTCTCTTTCAGAGTGGTATTGAACAAATGTGAATTAGATTTCGATATCACTATCATTGATAGAGTATCAGCACTTTTGCTTTCTCCAAATTTATGTGTTGTGGATAAACCAAGCTACAATCCTTGGACTACTGGTACATTGCCACAACAGTTATCGGCAATCGCCAGAGTAGAATCTCGGACAGATTTGAAAATATCTTCACTCCATCTTGATATCAAATTGAGGTTGGTATGTTTGTATTATTTGTGCCCAACACTCAAACATACATCAATATAGAGAATCCACTAGGCCTTTCAACACTTGTAAATTGAGAATAAGCATATTCAAGTACATGATATACATACAGCAACCTCACATTGGAAATAGACAACTGACAAAGATGGATAGATAGATTAGATAGATTTATTGAATTTTTGTACCGAGTGTAAAACTAGGAAAGGACGCTGGCTGTATCTCGGAAACCATTTGCCGTACGAGTTTCGGAAAAAATATTCACAATAAAAGTGGTCAAGAGAAATCTCTGGAAATTATTTTCAAGTTTCCAGGACGGCTGCTAGAGGGCGTAATCGCATTGGCCATTTGAAAAAATGGGTTCTCATAAGAATCTTATGTATGAAGACATGTTCAAAACAACCTTTCCACAATATCGAGTTGATTTCCAATCATTTGGTTAAAAAAAATACGCTAGCTCTTCGAATAGAAGAGGGAGGAGAGAATGAAAACACTTATTACTACAGTTTGGTGTAACGGAATTCGACAAACTAGGTCTCATTATGAAGGATTTTTTCAGTTCTTTCAGATATATCACGTGTCGAGTTAATTTAGATTTCGTGGTGACCGCTAGATGGCACCGTTTGAAAAATCAATTTTCCATGTTTTCTTGAAAATTTAAAATGGAACCATATATTTCTCCCACTGTAATATTAAAGTAGAACAACAGATGAAAATCGTGAAAACAGCGAGGTGATATATTTCGAGTAACCGAGGATATAATCAAAATAATATTAGTTGATATAAATTACATAGATACCGAAATAATTATTATCTTTCTGGATGTTCAAATTGTCTCTCATTATTTTTTATACATTAACTGAGTCTTTGTCAAGTGGATAATAATGCAGCTTCCACTATTGGTCCCAGAATAATCATCATTGGAAGCAGGAAGTTCACTATCGAGGTCAATGGAATGTGAATTTTTTCAATTTTCAATAAAACTATGAAGATGTTTATCTCAATTTCTTGCGTTATGAACTAACTACCTCTTGTACCTACTAGAAGATGTAGATTTGGCCACTTTTATCATTAATATTTTATTCCGAAACCTGTGCGGCAAATGCTTTCAGAGATACAGCCGGCGAACTTTCACTACATAACCAAGTAATAATTTCTCAACAAGTTATAAATGAGTATATGAATATGAATGATATGGCAGAACTTGCATCTAGATGAATGAACATCTGTATGTGCACGTGGATTAGAAACTAAACATAAGACTAAAAGCAGATATGCACAAAGGATATTAATTATTTTACATTCTTTAACAGTGATATTAGTAAAGAAGATGAGATTTACATCCAAATATACATACTAATAGTGATAAAGATAATAACACAGTAGGAAACATACTAATTTGAATTGCTACTTCATCTGAAATCAATTAATTTTAATTTGAATATGCTTATTCTCATAATTTATTAAAATATGGTTATTCTGATAATCTTAATTTGAATACGCTTATTTTCAATTCGGATGTGTTCAATATACTCCACAAGCATTAATATTCAGTTCCATTTGCATGGAATCACTATTCTGGCTGATTATTTCATTGTAGAACTGAACTACATAGATTTCTCACTAAATGTTATAATTATGTTCGCTTCATCATTATTTATAATTATTATTTTCAGATTCCCAATACCAGATTTTAGGCCAGCTCACGACATGAACAGAGTTCCCTGGTGGAAAAGGCATGTCAGAACAGATTATTTATCGATTATATTAACCGATGTTCTGTTTCAATCAACATTCCAAGCAAGTCAAGCTTTTACACAGTATGACATCCAAAGCAAAGGGCTGCAAATTTTTTATTTTGAAAATAAAGAGAGTAGTCCCTTGCATATTGCCAAGTCTGAGTTCGATGATAACTTTGCTTCTTCTATGCAGGACATCTTATTCCAAACTAGGTATTGTATGAATATTTATATTCATATAGTTTCACACTTTATGACCACCTGGGCCAAGATAATTCTCAATATCTTTGTACGCACATTTATATGATGAAGTAAAAGATTGAAGAAACCTATTATCCCCAGAAGACGTCATACCCAACGACATAACCTACTATCTAGATCATATCCCAACAACAAGAAAATCCAAGTTACTCGCCTGAAAATGCTTCTGCGCTAGGCCAGGATCCAAACTGTCATATCCAGCTCAGGTATGTCATTTGGTGTTCGGAAACATGAGTATGAGAATTAAGATATATGACAGGTACTGAATGCGCATTCTCCGGAGATCCACTTCGATATCATAATTGGATGAACTTTTATCTCATCACAAAGGCGGTCTAGAAAGTAGGTTATGTCGATGGTTTCATGTCATTCAATATGTCAGTTCTGTATCTGGATTTTTAAAGTGAGCCGTTCGAAACAAAATTAATAATTTTTTTGGTGGTTCATTACAGATATCATTTCAGTGAACGTACCTCAATAAATCAGACTATATGAAATGAGAGGTAGGATCTAGAATCTAGATCATGACTTATTGCTAATTTTTATTGTGGTCAATAATGCCACTATACAATTTTCTCATGTTTGCTACATATATGATCAGTTTCAGATTATCTAACGTGACTAATATTGAAAATATGTGTACACATATTTATGTTTTTTCAATCGGGTTCCTGTGTTCTCACGTGTTTGCCAAATGTGTTTTATCTTGCAGTCATTATGATTCCTGACTTGTCGTCCGTCGAACCTATATAAAGCCCTCGCGATTAAAAAACTCAGGACTCAAAATCTCGGTAAATTAAAAATAATATTTTCGTATTGACTGCCGTCTTTTCCAACGTGGCAGTTTCACGGGCAAAATTTCCAAGATTTCCACAATGTCATCTGCTATATTGCAACGTTTTTTTATTGCAAATTTGAATCATTGGTGTACAGTGAAAAATGTACCTCTTGGATACCTACTGGAAAAGTAACCTGTGATCCATAGTGAAGACTTCTGTACCTACTTGCTATCAAAATACATTCATGTTCTTTTCATAGGTTATCAATAAAAATTTTCCCAGCTAAAATCAATGATTTGGATGAATGTAATGAGCCCGAACAAGACCCCATGACTACATCATTTTATGGTGCTTTTGAAAACCAAACATGTGTTCAACCAGGCCCTTTTAGTGCTAAAAAAGTGGTCCATGAGAGTGATACCCCACATTCTAAACCGCAAAAAGGTGAGGTTAGTTTGCGGAAGTTACCTCGATACAAGGATCATTTTATAATTGTTTATTTGGATTTTTCATTTCAAGATGACACAGATGAATTGATAATTCCTGGTGACAAGCACGAAATCGACGAATTTGTCAAGTCCACTAGCGCGTCTTCAAAGATTCAGGTGGAAGTTTTTATTCCGATGATTTCTCTGCAATTTCCGTCCAAGCACGTTTATGAGATCATTTACAACAGGATCAATAATGATCTGCTCTTATGGACACCAAGTGCACCGAAACCTAAGACTAATGTATTTGACAATCCAACGTACTCTACCTTTTGTCCAGCTGGAAAGAATGTTATCGCAGATGGACATGATACATTTGCAATGTGCAAAAGTGGAATTCAGTATGGTAAGTTTTTGATGAATCTTACATTAGATGAAACAGTCAATAAAAACATGTGCTCAAATTCCCAATACCTTCTAATCAAAGCTCTGATTCCCAACTAGTAGTAACTGGTTTGAAATTACTGCTATAATGATAGTTTCTCGATGCTCATATGCAGCTAGCATGTGTACAGAATAGATATGTCATTAGAAGAAGTTGAGCTTAACAGAATTATAAAAGTAACATGTTGAAACCTGGTACCAAAAAAACATTGACTCTGTTTTCTTACGTTGCTGGTACTATTGCTCGATTTTTCACACTGGTCTTATAACTATGATTATTTTCTTCATATGATTTCAAACCAATCGGATCGTTCAATTGAGTTGAGTTACCTTGTATAATTTCGAATATACATGGAACGTGGATATACATAGAGAATCTCTACCAATCAGAAATTTAGTATTTCCATTTTCATAGTAACCAATTCATATTGTTACATACAAACAGAGCGCGTTGTAAAATTTTGACGTTTAGAACTTCTCAAAAATAATCGTATTGAATACAATTCGAACTTCAAAATATCAAGGTTATACTGGGTTGCTCAAAATGAAAGAATTGGTTTGAATCCCTTATGATTTTTTATTTAAGACATAATTATTATAATTGTTTTTTCAAAAAAGCAGTATACTATTGGAGAATATATTTTTAATTTAGTTATGAAAAATTATATCTCGCAAGAACCCATTTAATTGGAAATGGGCATCGTCGGTTTTTTGAAGGAATGGGATGAGATTTCGATCCAATGAAACGAGCACCGAGGCCAAAAGCCATTACGAATTGGAGGTTATGGATATATTGTTTCTATGAATTCAAATTTTTCAATCTCAAGACAAAAATAAAAATGAGATGAAAATGTTACTAATTGTTCGAGATGGTATTTTAGCAGCTCAAGATTGGCAAATAAATTTGGATCTACTTCGTCGACGACAAGAACTATGAAACAGAAGTACATAATCCTTTTTCTTCACCTTAAAAAAGATTTATCCAGCTATTCATTAGATTGAAAAAAAGGATGGTTTGTTTTCTGATACAATCATTGAGACTCCACTTAGTGGATAGGTCAAAGTATGAAGGGAATTACAACAGAATCTAAAATATTCTGCGCATTAAGGTTTCATTCAACTGTATCATACCAAAGATGCTACCTTATGCCATTACTCAGGAGTTCGCTCGCCAAGCCCCAGTGAATTGTCTTCTTCACAGTTTTTCATTGATTTCACGACGATTGGTCTCTGAAAATCGTCCTGGCCATGTTCTGTGCTGTTCTAAAAATGTTATCAACATTTCCCAGTGTGCATCTCTGAGTTTGAACGACATCTAAAATGAATTATATATTATATTTATGGAGTAATTAGTAGATTACACACTTTCACATAAACAAGATGAGCTAATCTCAAATTGAGATGAAGATGAAAAGAAACATTCGATGATAGATAAGGATAGATTGACAAAACACATCGACTCGACTCCTCTTGGGGTATGGAGGAATCGAATCGAGTTTACACGATTCATTCGAGAATTATAATATAAATATCGAATGAAGATGACCGATTCGACTTGATTCGTGAAATATAATCTCCCTCCAAGATCAGCAGTTTTTAGTGATAATCACTTTTTCCATTTATACTCATTAACTATGAATAGATATCATTGCGACTAAATAACATTATCCAATGAAATAACTCTAACTGAGTACACTGTCACGACCTTGGGCTGTCATTTACTGTCGCATCATTGTAAGTTAATTCATATTTGGATTTGGTACTCTCATATACCTACATCTTCACATTTTGAGTGATCAAATACCTTAATCACAGATTTCAATCTACTCATACACAAATAAAGAACTTGTACGTTACTTTGAATTGCTTCGTACGTATCTACCTATTAAATTGATTGTACCTACCTTTGATTATATAGTTATGTACCTCATGTTTAACAGACTCACTTTTTAAGGGGTGTGAGAGACAATATAAATACTAGGGCTCCCGATAATGTTAGATAGATACCAAGCCCTGAATAAAATTCTAATTTCAAATAATTTCCAGGGTTTTTTGTGAGTTCTATAAGAATACAGGATAATTCTCGTATCTGACTTATTGATACAATGATTCGAAATGAATAACAAGTGCTCTCTAATGTGTCTAAATCATCATTGAAATTTGATTTTTTCAGAGTCCGATAGCGACAGTGCCGATGAATCGGAAGACGGTTCAAACATTTTCTTTTCAACACATGACAATCGCATGAAATTATCGATGAAACCTCAACCAAAAGCTCACCCTACCGAAAATAATGAACAAAGTCAATTCGTCATGAACATACAAATTGCACAAGGTTTGCTTTGCCTAAATCCCCCTGTCAGAGATCTGGCAACTAATGTGATTCCTGGACAACAAGGAGAATTTCTTCTAAACCTAGAAGATGCCAACGTTTTTCTCGTTAGTGGGTACAAGGGGGACGAAAACTTGGGTTATGTTTGTGTGCAGCTGCATAATGCACAGTTGTATCATTGCGGTAAGTACAGAATTCGACAAAATCAACTCTGTGCTGTTATTGTAGTATCTTCGTTTAGATATGATATCAATTCCGAGCCAGACTGCCCCATTGAAAGAGTTTGGCACGATGGTTGGTAAACATTTGAACCCTACCGTATACAAATCGGAGGTAGGAATGTTGGCTAATACTAAAAATAGGGGTGGAAGTCGGGAAATGTTCACTGTTGCTGTGAAAATTCAGGCTAGTCATGAAACCCATCATGTCAAGGTAAGAATAATCCCTGATTATTTATTACACTAAAAAGATGAACCATCCTTATCAAAACAATGAAGCAACTACTCTTTGATGAGTAGCGAATGGTGGAGATCGGTAATGTAGGGTATTGCTACTGACATAAATACTATCTAGATCGCTAGTGGTCATATCTCAGCAACCCGAAAACCTCGGGTGAATTTCTTGTCTGAAAACTCTTCTGCTCAATGGCAAGAAACCTCAACCGGCGTTCATGACAGCGACTAATGTTTCTTGATGAGCAAGAGTGAATAAGATGTATGACAGGCCCTAAATGCTCAGGATTCATCTTCATCAGTTAGATCTCGTGAGTGGCTTACTATCTTCCTTACGGCATTATCGGTCTATGTAGTAGAGGTTATGTCGGTGGGTAATGCAGAATACATTCGAAGTTTATTTTTAGATATTTTTATGCAAGAAGGAATGTCTGATCAGGGCCGGATTGAAATATTTTTATTTAAAAGCCTTCAGACTATAAAAGTTGGTGATTTTCCTGCTTCAGAAAGAAGGATACTCCTAGATAGTTCAGCAAATTGCAGATAGATGACTCGAGTAGATTCCGAGATTAGACAAATCGGCCATGTATTGATATTTCGCCAGCGTCGCTTACGAATCAATCAAGAACTAAGGCCAAATTCGGCTTCAATATTTTATATGGTGGATCATCTTATTTGTGTAAATAATTAAGGGCATAATCGAATATATATTTATTCACTTCACTAATTGCTTGGTAGTAAGGGCCACAAATTCAAATATTAATTATGACTTGCCCTATTCCCGTGTTAGTTATGGAGATGTTGCCAGAATGTGCTGATTTGCCTCAACTTTGAGAAAAAAACATTAAATAATAATCATAATGTTCAGTACATTATTTGTGGACTTCCATAAGGCCCAGCATTTAGGTCTGTTACCTTGTTTGATATTTAAGTAGTAGTACATTTACTTTGATGTAAACACCAAGTGGCAATCGACTTTATACGATAGATCTTTCTGCCTATGTATTTTGTGTAGGCCACTTGAGTAAAGCATATTCTTCAATAATTTATAATTTAAAAAACGAATTATTCCTTTTGATGCCTCATTCATTGTATTCTAGACAGTACAAGTATCGATCGGTTTGAATAAAGGAACACTGAAACATCGAATGTGTCACGAACCTAATAGTTGGATATCGCATTTATTGGATTTTTTCAATGTGCAAGACTATTCTATACCAAACTACCATGCCAAAGATGTTTTGACTGAGCTACATTTACACCTTTGGGATTGTGCAATCGATTACAGGTACGCCATTCATTTAATTGGGTTTTTGAATACATGTTTGATTGATTTCATTGTCATTATTATCTGAAGAGACTATGGAGTTTATAATAGGGACATGAAAGTAAGTATATACCAGATGACACAAACACATGATATAGTCCGCTTTTCTTTTATCTTTTCTTCATCTAGCAATATTTCTGAAATTCGGAATATCGAATATGCTCACTACGGAACAATTTCTCTCATTAGGATTTTTTTTCATCTTCCGGTTTTCCTGGAAATGACACCAACTCACGATTTTCAAATGGAACACCGTAGTTTCCATCCCATAATCGGTTAGAGATTATTATAACGAATTCAACGATACCGGGTTTGATTGGATTATTCTAAACAATAACGAAGATATTCGCGTTCAACATTGCCATATCCTTAATGAGAGTGTCAAAGAAAAAAGAGTCGATATTGAGGCGATGATTGATATATTGAACCGTCAAATCCATCGAGCATAAGGAAACTTCGAACGCCAATATCGTAATCGTTTGAAATAACTCTATTAAACCCGGTATCGTTGAATTCGTTATGATAATCCCTAACTGATTATGGAATAAAATAGAGCGTGTTCCATTTGAAAACCGATAGTTGATGTCTCTTCCAGGTAAACCTGAAAATGAAAAACATTCATCAAAATATGAGAAAGTGGTTTTTAGTAAGCATATTCGATGTTCCAAATTTCAGAAATAAAGCTAAAAAAAATTAGGAGAGAATGGGTATACCATGAGTCTGTGTCACCTGGTATAAAAATGAAATAAATAAAGGATGGAAATATGACAATATGATGATGAAATCAGAAGCGAAGAAACAAAAACGACAATACCTATGTGACATACTTAAGTTTTCAAAACATCAATCATGCTATCCTTATTAACTTGATGTTACTAGGTATTTTTCAATTCGTTAGGTAACAAATAGTTTTGTTATTACATTATAAGGTGTAGATATCCCATAAAAAATTTTGAATGGGTGTTTTAAATTTTTTAACTTTTCCTGATTACCAGACTGAATTGCATGCACTGTTGACAGCTTGACTAAAAGTTTTTTATAACTTTCCAGACCTCAACATTTACCAGTGAGAAGTGCAGTAACAGTAGGCAATTTCAGTATGTCCTCACATTTATCAGCCCAAGCGAATTCTTCCACTCTGAGGTTCATATTCGAAGAATGTGGACTGTTTTTGAGCGAGAGAGCACCTCCTAAAAACGGTGTCGCATCCTCAGCCCCAGTAGATTTAAAAAGGGACTACGTGAATGTTATTGAATTGGGACTCTTCGAACTCAGCTTAAAGACTAATGATAAGGTAATACATATTTCAATGAAGCTATTGTCAATTCCATTCGATGCATGTCATATGGTCGTAAGTCGTAACCTTCTAATAGTGTTTCAATACTTTATAGTATTTCCGTCGATATGCCATCAGAATCACATGGATATATTCTAATCCTGTCTGTGAGTTCTTTAAAATAAAAACTAATAATTATTTATAACCTCAAATGGCACATTGACAGAACTATAGAATAACGTTCATATACTTCGGAAGGTAATTCTACAGATTAAAATAAGACATAATTTTCCTATCAACATGTTTCGAAAATTCTTCCTTAGGTTACTAGAGTCCTTTGAAGGTAAGTCCTTGTATGCAGTTTTCTTCAATTATCTTTGTTGTCATTAATCCTAGAATCACTACATTTGGTATCTGAGGGTAATTCGAACTTACAAATCGTTCTGTGGTACGGAAAACATGATTTACTATACAGGGATGTGCGAAACTCGTAACCGATACAATAAAAAGGCTTCAAGTTTTTTGTTTCAACATTCCTCTTTTCTAATATCAGAATATGATTCTTCTAATACTTTCACATGATAAAAGTATTGTTAGATTGCTGTAAACGGATCCGTTTTCGAGAAAAGTGAGCCTGTGCTCGTATGATGAAAGTTTAGAACCTGATAATTATTAAAATTTTACATTTCCAGCTAGTTTTTATTAGAGGTAATCGTTATGTCGATTTTTTGATAAAATATCCTCAATGGAAATGACTAAATTTTACAAACTTCACTAGGTGAATTTTGTTGGACATTGAAATGAAAAATGACCATTTTCTCTAAAACGGTTCGTTTTAGGGCATTCTAACAAGAATGCCCATTTCATGTGGCAGTGTTTGAAGAGTCATTTTCTGTTAGTAGGAATAATATGATAATAATAATAATAAAAAAAGTCTTCATTCATCACATCAAGTCACAAGAATAAGATATATATATCATAGCATATACGTAAATCGTAGAAATCATCTGTTTTTAAACTTTACCAGGAATCTTGAAAAAAATTCGAAGCATTTTTATAGCATAGGTTACTGGTTTCGCACCTCCTAGATATTAAGTCATGTTTTTCGTACCACGAAACGATTTGTAAGATCGAATCACCAAATTTCGTGATTCTAGGAACAATGATAACAAAGATAAATAAATCTGCATTTAAGGACCTACCTTCAAAGGGCTCCAGCGCCCTTAGGAAGCATCTTGGGGGTCATGTTGATAGGACAATTTTTTATTATTTTGATCTGCAGAGTTACCTTCCGGAGTATACGAACGTTATTCTGAAGACCCGCATACGGTCATATTGGTTTGTACTAGCTATGTACGTTAATCGGTCTGATTCACTAAGAGCATGGTGATTTTAACAACTGTCATTCGAGTGGTTAATATGAAGGTAAGTGGTTATTTGAACTACTTAAAGATTTTCTAATTCTCTAAGGCATAGATGGATAATAAATTAATAACTTGTCATGTTCTTTACACTTTTTATAGTGGCAGATATCCAACAGCTTCTTCTGGTGATTTGTGGAGTGGCTAAGGTTTTTAATAAAAAAATGTGGCACTATTTCAAGGAAATGTTGTGCATCTGTTAATGCTAGATATTGTAAAAGAGATAATTCTACGACAAGAGAATTAAAAATACTACCTAATTATGTGTGAAAACAAAAAAAAATATTTGTTAATTGTATTAATGGTTTAACAGGTTTTGATACCATTAATAGAACCACTGATGGAAGACGTTGGTGGTCTACTTTAATCCTACTACATGTAAAAATAAATCTCAGTTGAGTTTTTGAAAAAAATCAGTATATACTTAGAGAATATTTATAACTAATGGCTTGTATTTCAGATATTTGATGCTTTACATTTACTTGCACGAGGATCCTAATGATTCTAATGTAACAATGTCTCAACCAAGTGCTCGTTGAGTATATTAATTGTTAGGTTAAATAGACGTTAAAAAGGCAGAAATACAGCAATAATAAATGAAATAGTAAATGAATGACTAACTTCACAGTTTTATTTATACCACTGCGTGGAAATATAAAAAACTAACCACATTGATAAATGATGTTTTTATTGATTACCAAATATCAATAGTGAAAAATCTGGGGTAGTTAAAAAAAGTTCTTAATAACAACGTTACTAATTTAGCCACCCTATTAAACACTTCTTAGAGAATCTAACCGAATGGACCAAACAACTGAGCTACCATATTGAAGTTAATGGGTTATGGACAGGTCAGTTTGGTAGTTAAGCAATTTATAACATGTAAAGAAGGAAAGGACAATTTACGACTTTGTTTGAACTTTGAATTGTGATTATAAACCAGACTAAAATTCATGCGATCTGCTGTTGCAGTTCATTGTATTCTATAAATGAACAGCAATGTTATCCAGAAGAAGTACTGCGAAATATTTAGATCTTAAATAGTCTTATTTTCGGTATTATGATCTATATAGTTTGGATTATTATAGTATGATGAATATTCAGGTCCTAACCAGTTTGCTGAGGTATTAGTTAATTTTTATATCAAAGGCGAATTGGCAAATTGAGTTTGAAAAATAATTTCACAAAATAAGTTTCATGGTAAACATTTGTTTTTTTTTCTGAATTCAAACTAGGGATTTCCTGTTTCAAACTTGGAATTTCCAATTTCAAAAACATAAAATTTTGTTTGTTGTCGGAATTTACAAGTTTAACTTCAACTTTTCAACTGATGAGTAGAGAATTCAAAGCCTGAAGTCAAAAAATCAAGTTCCGAATGTTGGGTTGGAAATAGTTTCAAATCGGAAAATAAAATTCCCATTTCCATGTTTTCAATATTAAAATGAAATACTCTGTACAAACCCATGATTTTCAACTGCCTACTCTGAATTCCCGACTCGTAGCTCACAGAAATTGGGATTTCTAGTACCCCAGTATTCCAAGTTGAAACTCGAAATTTCGATTTTTTTACTGATGAGAAATTATCTCGGAAAATATATTGTAAATGAAATCACAACACAAGACGCCGCGTCGCATTTTTCACCAAATTGACCATACAAGCAAGTTGTACAAAACAAAAATTAGAAAATTTTAAAATGAGTTGGCAAAATTCACTTACTGCCCCCCTCCAAAAATGTTCTTTCGGTCCGTCCCTGCCTATACCCACTCATACAACCAGAAGCAACATGTTTAAATTTTTTCGGAAATAATCTAATGAAAAAATATAAGAGAATAAGTGGGTGCAACTTATTTCGTTCAGATTTCCGGTGGGAAGCAGTTTGCCCACCGGCGTTGGTCGCAGAAAGAGGCCGACGTTTTCGAAACAAGAAAAAAATAGTCTCATTTGTTTTCAGAAAAGCGGACTGAATCCGCACATAGACCTCCGCGCTTCCAACAACATTCTGAACATCCACACCTGCTCTGACAGCGGAAGAGTATTGATGCAGCTCCTAACCTATTTGGCCAACGACGGCGATCTATCGCAATCCGATACTGTCAGTGCCGAGAGCCCGTTCTCTAGTCCGAGGCACCACGTCGAACAGGAATTGATCGTCGTTGAGCCGCAGGACATTAGTAATTTGTCCAAGAGCCAACATGAGCATGTCAACACGTTGCTGGGAGAGGCGATGAAGGAAAATGAAGCGGTCATAGGTAGGAAATTATTTTTTTTCACCACTAGCTATAGAACTTACCATTATTTACTCCTTTTGAAGGCGTAAAGTGTGTTTTACTACCAAGGTAGTTTTCGTCATTTTATGAACGCAAGCTGGAAATCATTTAATTACCTTCATTCGGTCCCAAATGCGTGTAATCTAAGTTTGCACCATTCCAGGAGTTGAGCTTAACTTTTGATAGCCAAAAAACCGCCAAATTTTTGCACTTTTTTTATTTTTTTGCTTATAGCTGCAAAATGGTTCATCGGTCGAATAATGTCATTCTATTCAATAATATAGAAGGCAAAATTCTGCGTCGAATGACATCTGAAAACATCAAATTCCGTTTAGTAGTATAGCCGAAATCGAATGTTAAAAAAGAAGAAAATTTCGTAGTTCGGTGCAAGCTTACATTTTGCGGCTTTCTAAGACGACATATCGTGAAAACAGATACTCCTATTGAAAAAACCCATAAAATAAAAGTTGTAGAGAATAAAATTTTACGTTACCTATATAGATAGATGTCCAAATGTTTAAGTTTTCTTGATTTGTCCAATTATCCGGATATCTGAATGCCCGGTTCAGCTTCGGTCCCAAATTTTGCATCAATTTATAATTATTTTTCATCTAGTGCGCGAAATGCTACTTTGGTGATCGAAAGCTGATTTTTTTAACGAGGCGCAGCCAAGTTAAAAAATAGTCGAAATCACCAAAGTATTTCGCGCACGAGTTGCACCGAACTACGAAATTTTCTTTTTTTTAACATTCGATTTCGGCTATACCTCTGAACGGAATTTGATGTTTTCAGATGTCATTCGACGCAGAATTTTGTCCTCTGTATTATTGAATGGAATAACATTTTCCGTCCGACGCACCGTTTTGCAGCTATAAGCAAAAAAATAAAAAAAGTGCAAAAATGTGGCGGTTTTTTGGCTATCAATAGTTAAGCTCACCACCTGACATGGTGCAAACTCAGATTACACGCATTTAGGACCAAATAGAGGTATTAAAACGATTTCCAGTTTGCTGGAAATTAATTCCTCAAAACGGTTTTTTTCGATTTAATTTTATTAGCCTAGACATTAAAAGACCTCTGGAACGAGTATTGTGATTATGATGATATGGTTGAAAGATACTTTTATTTTTGAATACATATGCACAAGCTTCCAAAATACCGGGTGACACAGGGTATCGGGCCACCCCTGTAACTTCTGCATTCGGTACAGTTATATAAGCAATTATTTCGAATTTGATCACATTTCAATCCAATATGGCGGACTTCCGGTATTTCTGGAAATGCCAGCAACTTTGTTTCTCCAAATGAAACACCCTGAATTTTTTTACATATTCAAGTTCAACAGGTCGAAACAAGTGCAATCTCTATTTCAAATGTAATTTTTTCGAAAAAATTCAAATTGAAATTGTTTTTTCATTTTACCTCGTGGATAAATGAGATGTGGTCAAGACTATTCACAATGAGTCACACATAACAGAAGAACATAATTTTCTCTGAAAAATGATTTTTTGTCACTTATCCAGGAATCAATTCAGCCACATCACTTTTTGATAAAAAAATATTTTTTTTTCAAATGGAACCCCTATGGGCCACCTACCCGTCTCTCTAGAACATACATTAAGGAACAAAATGACATATCATTTTTGTTTTTCGGTGCAGTAACAAATTGTATACATTCAAAAATAAACAACTAGTTTATGAATTTCCTTGCAGTTAGAATAATTTTTCAACTAGGTAGGCTGTGGAATAAATGACATTTGACATCAAGATTGCACTTGTTTTGACCTGTTGAACTTGAATATGTAAAAATAGACAGGGTGTTCCATTTGAAAAAACAAAATTGCTGGCATTTCCAGAAAAATCGGAAGTCCGCCATATTGGATTGTAATGTGATCAAATCCGAAATAGTTGCTTATATAACTGTACCGAATTTCAGAAAAATCCGTTGACGAATGCAGAAGTTACAGGGGTGGCCCGATAACCTGTGTCACCCGGTATATGTGCTGGCGACTGTCAGAATATTTAGTTCTTTGAATGCATTTCTGCATGATTCCCTGTATCCTAGCTGAGCAATTATTCTTATAACATATTTTTGAAGTAGGAATACTCTTTGCACGGATGCACTAGTACCCCAATTCAGAATGCCATAGCGAATGTGGGAATGAAAATTGGCGTGATACAATGTTTTCAATATATTGACACTACAATGATTTGACATGAATCTAATCGAGAAACAACACTTCTTCAATATAGCACAAAGTGAGTCGATATGAGGATGCCAAGATAGTTTTTGATCCAGAACAATTCCCAGCATATTTACTGTTTCAGATGGACTTATCATTTCATCATTATCATTTGAAGATATGTCAATGTTGTTCATATTACGAGTAGAAAGTAATATGATATTTGTTTTGCCTTTGTTGAGTTTCAAATTATTCTTTTCAGACCACAAAATTATTTTCTTATATATATCCGCTGTGGTGATCTTCAACATTTCCATATTGTCTTCTATTATCAGAACATTAGTGTCATCTGCGTAACTGGTAACGAATGTCGAAGTGTTATTGCTAATGAATGTTATAAGATCAGTAGCAAAAACCAAGGAATGGAACTCAAATCTAGTAGGTATTTATCAATAATGACTTGTCATATGCTGTTATGGTGATAAGATTTTAATTAGAACTGAAAAGAAGTGCTTTCATAGTGACATAGGTCCACATTTCAGTTTCACAGAACTATAGATAGATAGATAGATAGATAATTTATTCATTTCTACAGAGTTGTCTTACGCGTCTGAGAAGTAAGTCACATACATACAGTTTAAAATCTAGTATAAACATTCAATAAAAAAAAATAAGCATAGAAATAAAACATTACCACAGATTAAAAATAATCACTGACTGAGTATGGCTCCATACTGAGTAAGTAATTCCGTACCGAGCCAAGGAATCTTTTGGAATTTTGAATAGCTTTTATCTCATCCGGAAGATTATTATAACATTTTATTGCATTGTACAGTGGACTTGTTTCGAAAATACACTTTTTGTTGATTGGGTAAATATAGTTGTTTTTTAGTCTCGTGTTATGTTCATGATTCATTTTGTGACTGCTGAAGTGATTTTCATGTGTGGTCTGGAATTTGATAGCCTCATAAATAAACAAGGCTGGTACAGTTAACATGTTGTTTTTTTTAAATATTCCCCGGCATGAGCCATCTATCTTCAAATCGAAAATTATCCTCACTACCTTTTTCTAAAAACTTTATCCAAGTCCGCGCAACCTCCCCATGTCCCAATCCCAAATTTCATTCTTGAATAGAAATTTGCATAATGATTGAAATATATTGCGAGTGGTGAAAATGATGTAATATTCACCTTGGTGTATAAATAACTATTTTCCACCACTAGCTGTAGAACCTACCATTATTCACTTCTTTTTGAGGCGTAAAGTGTGTTTTTACTTCCAAGGTAGTTTTCGTCATTTTATGAACCACTAGTCGATAATGACATAGCCACCTCTGATATAATTAACCCGATTTCACTGCTATAATGCGATATTCGCAGAAATGGAACTCGAATCTAGTACGTATTTATCAATGACGACTTGGCATATTATGCTGTCATAGTCATGGCTATTTTTTTAATTGGAATTGAAGGGAAGTGCTTTTATAGTGACAATAGGACCATATTTCAGTTCCACAGAACGATAACGATTGAAATATATTGCATGTGGTGAAAAAAATTCAATATACACCTTGGTAGTAAAGAATATCATTACCATGGGACCTTATAGCCCTCGGCTGGAGCCTCGGGATATAATCTTGGTCCCTGGGTAATAATGATATTCTTCACTACCTTGGTGTATAACTAACTATTAAGAATATGGTAGGCATACAATTTTAATTGGTAGAAGTCCATGGTTTCTCAAAGTGGAGTGAAGTATTAGATACTAAATGATACACAAAGTCATCTCCACGGCATCAAATGTGATTAACACATCATTTAAAATTTGTGGTACATGTATCGGACATACAGTGTGTGCGATTCTAACCCGCAACATCCTCCTAATTTGGAACCCGTCTGCCAATTTTCAAAATCAAAAATTCCATAATACTAAACGATCTCTATTCGAAAATGTGGACAAATCTGAAATATTTGGATTTTCAAGGCCCACTTTTGTTTGTTGTTGATGGGGTCAAAATTCCATAAACGACTATTTGGCTAGTCTATTCGATTCAAGCAATAACTGAAAACTGAAATACTTCCATACAAAATTAAACGCAATATCTCATTTAGGGTGTCAGTTATTCAATGGTAAATTTTTTTATTTTTGATTTTTTGATTCATCCTGTATCAAAATCTGAGGAGTTGATATAACCGGTGAAACAGTCATTCAATGGAAAAACACATCGAATACTTTGATACGAAGTTTCAACGTTGTAACTTCTACAAGAAGATCTCTCTAGGTTAACCAAAATTGATGAAATCGAAGTTGAGAGATTGTTTTTTATGATCCATATGTTTTTTCCTGGAAATATAAATAAAAGTAACTAATTCGAGGAAAATTCTCCATACATATTCGATTATTGTATTCTATTATATTCTATTATTATTAGTCCATTATTGGGCATCAGACTCATGTTAGACGTACGGGGCGGAGCGAATTGGACATGAAACGAATATTCATAGAATATCTTTCGTATTGTGGACTTCAAGTAATGTGAAAACAATACTTTTCTATCATCATTGTTTACGGGGTGTTGTAGAGAGTGTACGGAAAATGCATGGCTCTATATTATAACCAAATCCAAGAGGCCAGTGTAAACAAACTGACTAACGGGTGATCGTATTTGAAATACTCTTCTTTTATTGGTCAGAATGCCAGGAACGCCATGTCTGTATGCGAGAGTAGGGGTGTACCGTCTGCAGAACCGCATTAAGGTTATCGTTCTTGATACGTAATCACTGCATGCTACTGTGTTTACGGCTGGCCTCTTGGATTTGGAAGTACTATAGGGAAGATCAGTTCTCTTTCAGTTGGGCATTTTGCAATGAAGTTTTCCCGAGATAAAGGCTCCATGTATCTAACTGTGACGAATTTTTCATCAGAAAAAATATTTCTGAGGCCAGACAGCATTGCAAAAATTGTATTAGTCCCACTCTGCACCTATGTATGTTTTGATGTGAAGATTATCTCTGAGAATAGCTGTTTGAAATTCATCAAACGTATTCGATGCAGAAAAAAATCAAGTAAATCACTTGATTTCTACAGAAGATTCAAATTGTCAAAAATAGGTCAAATTATTAGTGTTTCCATTCATGAACTAACAACTGTAAAATACTAATGAATATGTATTAAAAACCAGTTGAAACGTGAATTACTTCAAGGGAAATCAGGAGAGAGTACTAGGCGATCATAGTTGTTTCCCAGAGGTTTTTTCATCTCTTTGAGCGCACGAAAAGGAATCACTATTTTGTTCGATAAATATCGTTCGTACCTAGAGAGAATAGGAAGAGGAGGTAGATATTGGATTTTACTCAGCTGTTGGAAGGTACACGAATTTCAAAGCCTTACCGTTCTATAGACAAACGAGTTTTGCTTAAGAGTTGTAGGACATAATTCGAGGTTGACGACAAAATGATATCCCGTGAAACCTATAGAAAGGTGAAATGTCGCCGACTTTCCTGAAGTGTTTCAATGATGTCGATGAATTAGTGAGTGTGGTATACCCAACCAGGTGGATGGCTCGTCTCTGGGTGAAATCTAAGAGCATCAGCGTATGGTTGAATGGACACTATATGTCGGAATAGTGTTCTAAAACGCACCGGATTTGTACTTTGTAGATCATTCTTTCGATTCAGATTTGTATATTTTTCTTAAAGCTACTTCATCTTCCTATAAAAAAAACACAAATTTGGTAGTTGACCTTCATATTTTTCCAGAGGCCATGGGAAAATCATCGAATGCAGGAGCAAAATTGTTCTACTTTCCCGATGAAGCACAACAGTTGCAAGACCTTCCCCACAAGCCTCTTCCACAAGTTACCAGCGAATTGGGCGACATTACCTTCCACTCTAACAAAAGCAGTGATACGGACGATGACTTCTGCATCATAGGTAATTTCTTTGTATTTATCAATTTATTCATTCATTATGTTCTTCCTTTGGATTATTTATAAATTGATTACTCATAACAATCGAATTATTATGAGTTTGTGCACTCTATACAGTTATATTTAATTCACTTGCACATCGAAGTCGCCGGTTCATTTATGGATTGATAGTTACGATACTACCTGAAAGATGGCGACACTTATCTGTATTATAAGTCTAGAAAAGGAAAGAAAAAATATCAAACATATCCAATTTATTTTGTCTATCAACTGTTTGTGCTTTCAGAACGTAGAAAAGTTTCGGTGTGTTTTACGTGTTTCATAGCATTTCACTTTTTTTGTTCAGGTTAATTTCCCGAGCTTTTTGGTTTTGGTTTATATTATTCTTGACTCCAGTTCGTAATTTTATTTGTTTGTCACTAAATAAAAAACTTACGTAGATATTCAACACCTGATACAATTCTGAGGCCCGATTACAGCAACGGATTCAATCTTAGGTTTCGAGTTGACTGACAGATTCAATCGCCATAACTAAATGATTCAAACCGGTTCATCATACCATAATAATCTCGATTACACGATTAGAATACGGAATTATCAATCTGGGATAATTTCGATGATGAGTTATTGATTATCATTAATGAGAAGCGAAAAATGTATTTGGAACAAGTTTTCAAATTTTATATTGATTTCATTCAGCTTATATAATGGGAAATGGATTTCGAATTTGTTGGAGTAAGGTGCGCTTTTTTAAGAATGAGGTATATTTAAAGGTAGAGCTAGATACATCTAAAATATCAAAAATATCAATGTTAGGACAAATCAAGTGCTCTCCTTGAAAATGTCACTGCTGTTAAAATGTCACTGCTTCTAAAATGTCACTATTAGAAACCTAAAAGAGAAATACAATCGATATTCACTGACACATTGTTTCAAAATGTTTGTAGACATCAAAAACAAGTTCATACGATCGATCCTTGGATCACCTTTTCCATTTGAAACATTCTCAGCTATCTATTGTTCTACAAGCATGCATGTAGGTAATGCCCAAAGGGTTTCATCATTCATCATATCACAGGATAATAAGTCCAAAGACTATCGAAATAGAATAAACATTTGCGTAAATCAATAAAATTATAAATTCTATGCTGACAATGCTCAATTGGTTTGCTGTTTGCCTCCGAAGTAGTTCTAGAAATTAACACCATAGGCCACACACTTCGTAATGTTCGTGAATAAAGAAGTTTCAAGGCTGGTTAAAATTATCTATTCATTCAAGTTGTATTTTTTATGTCATTGAACAGGTAACGAACCGGGTCTTGGCCTGTTCCCCAGGAGCGGTCTTCCGGAGATCAACTGGTTGTCCAGTGATCCGGTTCGGATAGTGGACAACCATTTCGCGGTGCCGGTGGGCAAGACGGACCTGCTCAAACCGCCCAAGTCGTTTCCCAGTCCGATAATTCGCTACACCCTGTGTGATATGACCGTCGTTTGGAATATGTACGGCGGTAACGATTTCAAGTTGGCGGACAGTGAAATCAAAAAGAAGACTGTTAATTTTTCCGATTCTAGTCTGAGTCATACTGTTAGTTTTTCAAAGACAGATCAGAGTGAGGTTAAGATTACCAATAATTTAGACAAGAAGAAGGCAAATGTGGTGTGGGTGCTGAGAGGTGGAGTGAATAGGGATCTCAATGTTCATATGGAATTTCATTTAAGTAAGGTGAGTTCTTATTTTTAGGTTATTTTCTTCTTGTAATTTTGTCAGGTTGACGACCTTAACAGACCTTAACAGACCTGCAGGACTTTTTCAAAACACCGAAAATATTTGTCTATTCCTGCATATAATTGATCAATTACTTTGTACCTTCTCCTGTAATGAGGGCTAACATGTTTTGATTGTCCGCCATGTCGCTATTAAACGTGGGATCTTGGATCTTGCATGACATAAACTTCATGTAAAAGTTGCGTGTAAAGTTGAAGACTATCCAGCAAAATTTGAGAAATTTTGATATTCCTATAGATGTATGCCGACTGGGGATACTGAAGATGTTAACCCTCATTAGTGAAACTTTATCTCATATCGAAATTTGTTTTCTCTGGAGATGACTATACAGTGTGTTCCAGTTCATTTGGGAAATCGAGCTGCAATTCTTGAACTCAAAATAGAGCTTCTTCATTGTTGAAAATTAACCATTTATATGTTGGGATTAATTCTTTCCATTCCGGCAATTCTGTGCATTATTGACAGTTATCTGTATTAGTTTGAACGAAAACTCTTTTTCAAAATCTGTCATGTCGCTCTTTCGAAAAATCACCCAGTTCAATTTCACTGTCATAGAAGTTCAACGGGTAATTGATAAAAATGGCAAGAATAAACCGATTGGACACAAATCACCGTTTCATTAATAGATCACTAAGAATATGCAGAAAAAATTCTGCAAATGTGTGAGTAGTGTCCAATTGGTTTATTTCGAATCAAATCATATAACAAGTCTTCAACAATGATTGAGTGCCACGTGACCGTTTTTAACGCGGCGTCTTTTTCCACCCATGTTGAAGAGATACGACTTCATCCTTGTTTGCTTAGTAATCTGTCACGTGGTTTTCAATCATTGTTGAAGGCCCGGTACATTATCGGCATTTCCCAGTTAAAGTTTCAATGTAGTTCAACCGCCATAGAACGGCTAGGCTCTGGAATTCATTGCCTGTGGAAGTATTCCCAACAACATATAATCTCCAAAAATTCAAAAAAAATTCCAATACCTACCTCCTGTCCCTATCCTCCCTAGGAACGCACGATGTTCTTTGAACATTATAGGGATTCCCTTTCGTGCGCTCCAATCGATAAAAAAAAAACTGTTCACATTGAACAAAAATATGGAAATAAATAAGCGTCATGAAAACTATGTTTGCAAAGACTTCACAAACAATAAGAGTTCCACAAAATTCTTGAAAATACATGTTTCCCGAACAAATCAACTTCTTCATTACTGGTACAATAAGTTAACCTAACGTTGATTTGCAAATTTACTTCTCCAAGAAATTAACGCACTACCAAAAAGTGGTCAAAAGTTTAGGAAACATTTTCCACAGAACTACTAGTCCGATTTGGACGTTTTTTGTTTTGAATTAAAGGTTTTGTCCTTCTTAACATTGGCGTGCAAACTGTATTCACATAAGAACCTCTTTTTTATAAATACTGGGTGTAGCAATTATAACGTGTTCTTTCTTCATGAAATTTGAAATTCAAGTTGAAATTGAAGGTACACATTAGCCTCATCATTTTTCAACATTCATTTTTTGGATTTACTCCATTATCTTTCCTATTTATTCAGAAACACAATTTATAGCATAACATGATTCTATTGAATTCAATGTGCATTATAAGCTCGAAAGTAGTAGGCTATGGTCTGGGAAGGCATTTTTTTGACTGGTCGCTTGAAACTTTGTGATCATGAATGGAAGCCTTACATGTCAGATTTTAGAACCACAAATAGTGTGAGGATTTTTGTTGATGCATGACAATGCCAGGCCTCACGTCGCCCGAGTTATGAGAAATTATCTACAGGAAGTCTGTAGGGCTTCCATGGCATGGCCTGCTCGGAGCCCGGATTTAAATTCCATTGGGAATCTCTGGTACATTCTTGGGACGATATTACAAGAGAAACGTAGCTTGAATACTTTGGAAAACCCACGGCAGAGACTCATGATTCAAATTTGGGAAGACCTGGACCAACATAACATCAGGTATCTTGATATATTGAAGACTGGAACAGTTGGCACGATGATACACTACACTGTTTTACTACTAACCAAACCGATTTTTTAAACTGTTTAGTTTTAATCTTCTCCTGAAGAGGCCAACATAGTTAGCGAAACACGTGTCCAGGCTTTTAAAAAATCGGTTTGGTTAGTGGTAAAACGAGTGTAGTGTATTAGGTATCTTGTTTTGGGTATATGCCGTCTTTGCCAAGAAGGTTTTCGTGCCCGCGGCGGAAATACTCGCTACTGACCCTTTCGTTTAACTTTGGACTTCGCATTCTGTCTCGTTTTTTCGTTATTTAATTTGGATATTAATTTTCCATAAAATCATGTTACGCTATAAAATAGTGTTTCTATAGTCATAAAGAAATGTTAAAAAAAGATAAGCTCAAAGTGTGATTTCAATTTTAACTCGATAGTGTAACTGTTACAATCTACAGGGTATAGAAGGGAATAACCTGTCATTCAAAACAAATAACGTTCAAATCGGAGAAGTACTTTTGACGACAATGTTTCCTAAACTTTTGGATACCTTTTGGTGTTGCGCTAATTTCTTGGACAAGTGTATTTACAACCACTCCTTTCAAGTTGATCCGACACATTGAATTTCAAAGTAGCATGCTTTCTGATATGAAGAATTAACAAGCCTACTCGCAGGTAATTGTAATCCTTAGACTCCTAAGAATATATATTATTTTTCCATTTCAGTTAACTGTGTTAGTGAAAAATGTCGTGATCTTGGGAATTTTGTTGAAATCGTATCATTTGTTTGATTATATAATTTTTAAGTGTTTTCATCCTTGGAATAATCCGAGTATCCAAAATTGCATTGAGCAGTAATCACATTACCAGTTCTACAGATATCTGGAAGAATGGTTTAACATTATTTGGGTCGTTACCGATCAGCCTATGTTGAATCCAGTAATTAGTAGTTCCTCTATTTTTCTATCAAACTGTATGAATCCCTAGGAACTATAACTCTAATGATGTTGTCTCAGGTTCGTTTTCAACATGAAGTGTATCCAGAAACAACGACCCAAGCTTCTAGACAAATTCTCATTATATCTGACGTTGAAATCATTGATCGCTTGGAAACCAGCCAGATAAATAAATTTCTGTACCAATATTCTAGTCAGGCTCGACCAAAGCAGTCCCATGCTCATATGGTGGGTATAATCATCGTATCTTTATTTGCAATTGACATAGTGTTGAATATTTCAGATTGTTGTGAAAGCCTTGCACATCAGACCAGACCCTAAACTGTTGAGACAAGAGTGTTGTCTCAAAGTATCATTGCTGCCGCTCAGATTCAATATCGATCAGGATTCTCTCTTATTCCTCATACATTTTTTCACTGAGCTTGGTAGTGGAAGTCCTGTTATACCTGGTGAGCCTACTTGATAAATTTATGAACTTGTATGACTCCTAATAATGCCAGTGCTGAAAATGACAATGAAAACAGATATTTTCCATTGGAAGGAAGAATTCGATAATGAATAATAACATAAATATGCTTAGGGAAGTTCTAGTAGGTTGGCATTCTTGGTGTCAGTAGTAAAATACTTATATTCAGCTATTATTTCTCTGGAGTTGAAGTTGAGAAAAAATAATAATTTTCTTTGTACTTTTTATCATGACTATAATATATTCCAGGGTAATTTATTAGAGAGCGGATGCGCCAATTCTAGCAAAATTGAGATTCATATCAAATTCATTCAAAAAACTGCGGAGAACAACATTATCAAAATGACACTATCCGATTTTTCGAACTCGTATATAACATTCTTGAAATTTTTGGCTAGATGATGAATAAGGCGTCTTGAATCATAAAGGCGTATGCTGGTATATCATTTACTTGTGTTCCATAAGTGATATGGCTTTATGATTCTCATTTTAGTCATGTTCAAGCTTACATTACGCAACAACAGCCTACTAAACGGATTGAACTGCTTGCTAAACAATTCTGAGAATTATAAAACAAAATCTGATGATGGAATTTCATGAAAATTCAGTGTCCTACTAATATTCAATGATATTAATATCAGATAGGCATATGCGCCGATAGTCACATCAAGAAGGAAATTACCATATTTTGAAACGTAACCTTATATTGGTTCATGAATTACCTATAAATGAAATATCATGATATCAATCTAAAAAAAATCTTGATATATCTAGCAAACACTAAATTTGGGCATTATTTTTGCTATGTTGTAAAACTATAAAAGTGGAGTATACAACTTTCTGATATATTATTCTCAATCTCATAATCTTTATATAATAAATCATGCATCATCTGCAACACTGTAAGAAGTGAACTAGAAACATTGGCTGTGTATGAATTCGTGGTCACCAGTGGCGTGAAAATGGAGAACTTGGTGAAATGAGTAAATAAGTATACTGCTCAATTGTCTGATACTTTATTGTTATATAATTCTTGAAAACGAAATTCATTGCAAAAATATAGAATATAGTAAAAATTAGGTAATTCCTCGAGTTTACTTTTGCTTATTTCATATATATTTCTTTTCTCCTTCAAGCTCGATCTAAAAATATTTCACTCTTCCTCATTTTACTGGAAACTGAATAGAATGATTTTATAGGGCTAAAAAATATGGGAATATACCTACCTAATATTGATATTCAAACTTTTCGAAGGACTTCCTACTATTACTTCCTGATGAATCAGAAGTAAATAAGTTCTCACATGAAGACCATTCCATTGTGGAAAAACTCCCTCCTAAATCCACTGGAAGCAGGAATCAATTCATAATATCGGTTTTGAGTTGGTATCAATACCCCCCTGAATTTGATCCGAATTAAACCATCCTGTGTTGAATGAATAGAACAAATCTTGTATTTTCAGACCATGACCATCCAAGTTTTAGTGTATCCCAAGATTGTTCTTGATAATTGGATTTAAAAAACCTTTAATCAATCTTATATGATAGGTACAGATAGATTTGCACCAAAAAATTTTCAAGATAGGAAGTTCTTATGAAGTTAAATGATTTCATTTCAATGTTCTCCAGGAATAGGTATTGGTAGTTTCTCTTCTTTTCTGTATTACTAAATCAACGTATTTCTGATATCGATATCATTTGAACCATATTTTAATATCTAGTTCTATTCAGTATGGATATGGAATCATAGGATCGAGCGTTCTAGTCAAAAGATATAAGATTATGAATTATGTGGATGCTACCCGGCTTTGATTACAGAATGGGAGAAGATGGTAGATACATCAATCATGTTTATTTCCTCATTAGACCAAAACAGATGATGTTATTAGACAATAGATGATCTATTTTGAAATTATTTGATCCAACAATGTTGTGTTTTTCTTCAATTATGTCCCTGCTTGTCTCGACGAGGGTCGATAATTTTTCAAAACCGAAAAAAATATAGTAGAATGAAACCCATTGGAAAAGGAAGAGAATATACAAAAATGAAAGGAAAAATAATTTACGGACGATGAATCCGAACGAAAATCTATTTGACACTTCTGTCGTAATTACTGTAATTGCATTTCAAATTAAATTGAAGTTTCGATTGAGTAAAAACATGGAATATGAGGAAGTGTATGATATCATTGCGGATCATTGAGTTCAAAACTCGGGAATTTGTTATTTAGTGATGGAGACACTGATTAGGTACTTGAGTAGCACATATCTTATACGTATATCTCTACCAAGGCAGCAAACTGAAGCTAATTTATTTTACCTCCACGGGAGGTAATTTTTTTCCTCCCGTGGGAGTAAATAGGCAGGTTTGTGTCCTTAAATGAGGAAGCAAACGCTTACTTTCGATGCAGTGAGTAAATAAATGAATAAATAGGTCAACATCGTTACTGCTCATGCTAGCATTTCACTCTTAAATAAAGTGGGAAGCTGCAGATTAGTCAACTCTACAATTTTATTTTTATCAGGAGTACTCGGACAGAGAAATATAATGTTAGATTCAAATCCAGTATAGTGACTGATTTCATGTTCAAGTGTCTCATTCTTTCTGACTTATCCTATACATTGTAAAAATGTCCTACAGGATCAATAAATATTATTATTATTATTATTATTATTATATTTTTTATATTTTTATTTTCATTTTATTTATTCATTTTTAAAATAACATACATATCAGCATACTATATTAATATTAATATACATTTTTTTTATGTAAACATGATCAAAAAAGTTGAGAACTTGTCCATGATCATGTATTGAAGGAATTTATGGATTATGTAGTAATGTATGAGTAATCATATTCAAAAGATTGCTGCACATTTTCTGACATGCTGTGATCAATTGAAAAAATGCCAAATAATGTGTTGATTTGAATAGAATGAAACAAATGCGATCAGTGTTGATGAAATAAATGTTAATTGAAGAAACAATAAATCAACTTGGTACATTTGGTAGAAATGCCACTGGTAGCACACTCTGTCTGAGACGATCACTGTCCATTCGTCTAGTCTACTATAGAAGTCGATAAATCCATTGCTTCTGTTTTTTTAGGAATATTTATATGCCTCATGTTTTTGTATTTGTATTTACTACCAGTAGTCGATCTGAGTAAAGCTACAGCCCTAAATCGTCCTAAGGTTTTCCGTCAGAATGTCTCGATAGATCGATGAGATAGTTCAGGATTTTGTAAGTCAATCCCATTTTTGACACATATTTATTCAAGAACCTCCATTTATTCCCATATTCGAGAACTTTTGACGATACTATTTGTTATTGACTAGGTACCCATAGTTATAAGCTTCACTTGCACGACTAGTCCCTAAGTTTTTTTTTTGTAAATTTAATTCAGATGAACAAGAAAAACAGACTTCTACATCCAAACACAACACTCCTACACATCAACCACCTGTGATGACAGTGGGTGAAGAAAACGAAGAGCAACGGACAAAGCAGGCACTGAAAGTTGTAGATGAGAATCTAATAATGCTGATAGAGGAGAGTAAGAACCAACAAGATTCCGATAATATTTCTGTAACTTCCTCGAGTAGTGCTAGTGATGGTTCCCCAGTTTATTTTAGGTTAGTTTAGATATATACATACACAGTGAGCTCAATAAAGAACAACCCTTTCATTATGAAACATATTAACGAATAAAAAAATGCATATATCAGAAGCTCAACCTTGACGTAAAAATTTTCATTTTCTTTGCATTTTCTTATGAAGGGTGCCTCAAAATCAACCTGCCAGTGGCTACTGCAACTGAAAATACAAGCAAGTCATCGACAAGTCATCAAGAAATCGAATGAATATTGAAATAATCTCTATTACTGTATGCAATATTTGTTTTTCTCTGACTAAAATAATAGGCAATGTGGTAATATGCCATCACATTATTTCGCGTTATCACTCAAACTTCTTTGTTCGTCATAATTCAGCGACTAATAAAATTTGTAAATACACTATATTTCAATGTTTCTGAGGCATATAACCTCCAGAAATTTAAGAAGAACACCAATCCCTACCTTATTTCCCTTGGTTCTCACGATGTTCTCTGAACATTACAGGATATCCCTTTTCGTGGGAACCAGAACATAAAAAAAAGATAATATGATTTCGTAGAGTTTTTTCTAATTTACATATTTTTGTAGTATACATATCCGTTTTCAGAACGAAGATGTTGGCAATTAGTCAATTTGTTTCAAAATGGAAGGATTGCATTATTTGAAATCTCACAAAATGAACATCAAATATATTTCTTCTACAAACACTTTCGAAAGTAGGCTTCCTAATTCACGAAGAGTGACCTTTAATATTTGTGTCATAAATAAATCGATTACCGTTTATCAATAATATTTGACGGTAGTGTGAACGGCGAAGAAAAATTCACTTTGATGTTGTTTACTCCTGATTATCAAATGCGAGTATCGAGTACCTTACTCAAATCTCAAATGTTCTTTAGAAAATTATCAAAAAGTTTTGTGTATCTCCGGCTCCAGAAATCTCTATGTAACAATACAAAGGTGCCTAGCATCAGTGTCTTCCCATATTCGACCTGAAAAGGGCGAGGCGTTTTATTAATGCATTGGCAGCAACTATTGTTCAATTCAGTATCATTCGAAATAATCAGTTCCAAAAAATCTCGTATAGTTTACTTATTCTTCGTTGGCCATGGCGCCCGCATTTCCCTTGGTTCTCACGATGCTCTCTGAATATTACAGAATATCCCTTTTCGTGGGAACCAGAACATAAAAAAACGCCAGTGTTAAGATTTCAAATAATGATATGTCTGCAGTCGTCACTCGTTCAATGAAGGGGTACAGAAAATGACATTCCATCTCTTTAAAGAGCGTAAAATGAGATGTTAGAGGCACTCTAGTCTCTGATAGATAAACATACCTATACCTGAGACTACAATGTTCTCCAAGCGATCTTAATCTGTTAAAAACCAAATACTACTGACGAGCTCTGGTAGAGCCACCCAGCAGCTTGGTGGAATCTATTTATGAGCTTTAGTATAACTAGTTCTTGAGGTGGCCTGCGAATCGCTACATGGTATCTAGCATGGCAAGCGTGGTAATGTGTACTCACTATAGTCACCTCACCCTTGTATAGATGACGTTTCATCCATCTCACCGATTATTTCTTGTGTTTGTAGAAAAAATATTATTTGACACACTTATTAAAAGTGGTTCTATTTAGTTTGTGGGGTTTTTCCATTCACTGACAATAGTTATGTGATATTCCCCACTCACAAAATGAAATGCAACTTTCAATAGTACTATTATGAATAGCGCATTTTTTACAGAAATGTGATATTTTCACCGGATGTGCCAATAAAACTAGACTATCACGGAAAACGCGTGGATATGACTCATGGTTCTCTTCCTGGCCTCCTGATGGGCTTGGGCCAATTGAATTGTTCCGAATTGAGGCTGAAGAGAGTAAAATACAGACACGGCTTACTTGGTTTCGACAAACTCATCAACTATCTTCTGCAAGAATGGCTTAATGACATTAAGAAAAATCAGTTACCGAGCATCCTTGGTGGTGTTGGACCTATGCACTCACTTGTTCAATTATGTGAGTATGAAAATTTCCTTCCTCAATAATTATATCGGTTGGTCGGGATGAAAATATCTGAATAATTTTATGAGGGACATCTCTGATAATAGAATTATTTTCAGATCATTTTCTATTTTACAATGAGAATGTACTGTGAACCACATTCGTGATCTCCTTTCAATTCTTAATATATTTTCTTCTCTCACAGTAGAATTTACCAACCTCTGCATTTTATGTTTGCTGACAAACAATTTTTCAAATGTAATTTTTCCATGAAATGTGAATATTTTTTCTATCTCTAACTTATGATCAAGAGTATCAAATTTTTATTCTCTGAAAATCATAAGGTTTTTTTTAGTTGAATGACCTTTTTTCTGTTTGTATGAGATAATAATGATAGACCAAAGAGTATGAATATTTTCCTGCTCTCGATTTTTGTACTTACACAGATGAGGTACCAATCTTTTTCTTGAAAATAGTATAGGTTAGACCTTTAAAGCTGTGAGGTAAAGCATTATGAAGCTAAGCACCAATATATCCATTGGAATCTTCGGCTTCCTTAATCTTTGTTGCTACAGTTTGCCAGATAATTAGTTTGATTTGATTTGAAAGATTTATTTAGCTTTCGCTAGTTTTCTCATCATATTTTTTACAATTATAAACAATTTTTACAAAGTATAAATTCTTGAAATAACTATTAACTATACGTATAAACTATACTAAATCTTAAAGTAGACTTTTCGTAACATATTCTTGAAAATTTTAATATTTGGTGCAACTTTGACAATAAGTGGAAGGCTGTTGAAATGATGCAATCCCTGGACAAAAAGAGATTTTTGTAGAACATTCGAATGACATCTTGCTATATGGAAATTTTCTCTTGACCTGACGTTATATCTATGCATTTCCGATCTTTTCACAAGGAAAGATTGCAGATACATAGGAGCCTGTTTGTGCATGATTTTGTATATCAGTACTAAATTTGATTCTTCGATCATTTGTTCAACATTTAGAAATTTCAGCATCCTAAGCATATCTGTAATCTTTGTGTGTCTATCACATTGGAGTAATATTCTCATACACTTATTTTGCAGCTTTTGAATTCTCTGTATATCACTTTTTGTACAAGAGGTAAGTAAAGACATACAATATTGAAAATGTGGGTAAATAATGGTGTTATATACTACTCTTCTAGCCCAAAATGTTAGTTTTCTAGATATTCTTCCATAATATCCAATTTTTTTCCCTAATTTTTTACAAATATTATTCACTTGAGGCCCAAAGTTTAAATATGAATCTACTTGTACCCCTAAGTACTCAATCTCCTGCACATAGTCAATCACTTCCTGTTCTATATGAATAACGTGGTTTTCGTTTGAGAATGACTTACAGTTATTTTTTGAGCCCAGAACCATACATTTCGTTTTCTTGACATTAAGCTTCAACCTATTATATTTCAACCAGTTACTCAATTCTTTGAGTTCTGCATTCATTTGAATAACTACTTCCTCATGATTTTTTCCACATATCGAAATCAGGGTATCGTCAGCAAACATATTGACAAAAGAATTTTGTAAAGCATTGCCTAAATCGTTGATATACAAAATGAACAATAGCGGACCCAATACACTGCCTTGAGGCACCCCATATTCAGTCCCAACTTTTTCCGAACAGTGATCTTGATACTTGGTTGTTTGAAATCGGTCTTCAAGATAATTTCTTAACCATTTCAACACGACACCCTTCATTCCATACTGTTCACATTTATTCAGCAACATTTTTCGATCAATAGTTTCAAACGCTCGTTTCAAGTCCACAAAAACACTGACCACAACGTTCCCTTCATCGATCTCTTTCCTCCATTTTGAACAAACATATTTACATGCTGTTTCGCAAGAGTGGTTTTCTCGGAAACCTGATTGTCCAACGTAAAGAATTTCATTTTGCCTCAAGTAACAGCTCAGCTCCTCACAGACAACTATTTCTATCACCTTCTCTACAACCGGCAATAGATTTATAGGCCGGAGATCTTCAGGTTTTTTTGGACATCTAACTTTTGGTATAGGTACGATCAAGCTGCAGTTCGCAACTTAGTATTTCTTTTTATCTGTTGGAACGCACGAAAGGAAATTCCTATGATGTTGGAAGAGAGGAGGTTAGGAGTTGTTTTTTTTTAACTTAGTATACTATAAAACTGAGGAGTGAGCGATCCTTGAATGTTGGGTGTGTAACTGAAATCTTAATTCTGACTTTTTCTAGACATTTGTATAAACCTCAAAAATACGATATTTTATTGTAACACAGTATAGCAATATATTGATTAGTCATGGAAACCATCCATCCTTCTCAAAGTGGTCCAGATTTTTTCAAAGAAAAAACAAAATACACAAAGTCGGTCGACCACAAATTATATTACACAATTACTAGTGTGACTAGTTTCGGCTAAACAGCCATCTTCAGACACAAATTGAATAAAGTACCTGTAAGAGATGAAATTACAGACGAACAATAAGTTTGCTAAGGAAAAAACATACCTAGGCCATGTGGTGATTACAAATTCAACCAATAAAAATCAAGCGGTTATTTCAACATAAATAGTCAGTCCGGTAAGGGGGTGATTAAATTTTTTATAACGGCTCAACAGCCAAAATGATTATAAGGTTCTTTTGGCTGTTGAGCCGTTATAAAAAATTTAATCACCCCCTTACCGGACTGATTATTTATGTTGAAATAACCGCTTGATTTTTATTGGTTGAATTTGTAATCACCACATGGCCTAGGTATGTTTTTTCCTCAGCAAACTTATTGTTCGTCTGTAATTTCATCTCTTACAGGTACTTTATTCAATTTGTGTCTGAAGATGGCTGTTTAGCCGAAACTAGTCACACTAGTAATTGTGTAATATAATTTGTGGTCGACCGACTTTGTGTATTTTGTTTTTTCTTTGAATATATTGATTAATTAGTAAGTGGTGAATAGGCAGTAAAAACGTTTACAACGAATATCAATACATGGTTGAAGTGAATTTTGTATACCAAATTGATGGTCACCATTCATAAAATATGACAATAACAAAAATCATTATTGGAATTATTGAATTTCGCATCTTATGCAGTGATTTTAGAGGTATACTAGGGTGTCAAGACGGTATTCATGATCATTTTCTCATTTCTCAGTTCAAGGGGTGCGAGACCTATTTTGGTTACCTATTGAGCAATATCAAAAAGACGGAAGGATAATTAGGGGTCTACAACGTGGAGCGAATAGTTTCACAACATCTACTGCTATGGCAGCACTAGAGTTGACCTCTCGCATCATCTATTTAATACAGGTTGGTACATAAATCAATGGAATAGTTTTCGTTGGACATTTTTGAATATGAATTTCAGATAACAGCAGAAACTGCTTATGATATGCTATCTCCTGGTCCCAGTGTTAGAAGGATAGCTAAATCAAAGGGGAAAAGGAAGCGGTATCATCAACCGCAGGATATCCGGGAAGGGATGGCGAACGCTATATTGCTAGTGAAAGAGGTATCATTCAGATTCAAATTACATTTTTTATTCACCATTACAACATACTATACTATATCGGGTGTCCCAGATCTTTAGATACAGGCAATATCTCAGTTATGCTGGATGGTTAAAAATTGAAAAATTACACTTTTGTCAAACCCAAATGGCGTAAGTCGTTGTGTCAAAGTCAACTTATGTCAAACTATCCTTGAATTTCCACCCATAACTCCAATTTTTCAAATTACACCCTATACATACTGTCTGTAGGTTAATCGAGGAGGTGGTATGTATATTCATTTTACTTGATTCTTTGGGATTTTCTCCTCGTTTCTATAAAATAAAAATATTCGTATTATTTCAATATATTAGTAGTGGGACAAATCAGATGATTTGCCCCAAAATGTCACTGCATTTAACAATTTTTTCTATCAGGGAGTCTAAAAGAAAAATCCAGTAGCTTGTCAGTGACAATTTGTTTGAAAAAATGTTTGAAGGAAAGAAATATAGATATATTGAAAAAATATCGAATTTTCACCTAACTTTGGACGTTTCGGGACCGAATCTGCTCCCGTTCTCAACATATAAATGCAAAATATTTTTCTTCGAAAGTTTTGCTGTTTATAGTTTGACACTTTTCAGTGTCATACTGATGTTGGCATATAAATGAGTGATTTTAGTCTACAAATGAGTTACAGGATGTGTAGCAGATCAAATACCGCTACCCTGTGTATCCATAAAACGTAAAGCCGTTTAGCGTTTAGACTGTTTTCTTTTATTCTTATCATCGCTGCCTGTTCGTGATTTTTATCAAAGTGTGTTCTACTTTTTACCATGGTTCGTGCATGACAAAATATTTTACAGTGAACTGCTCAGGTGACGGTACCTGTAGACGACTTTTCGTGCGTTGGGTTTTGTTTAGCCAGATGGCGTCCCCTGGACGATTTGATTTAATATTATTGAATATTTCAGCGCAGTTTTTTCTGTTGGAAAAAACTTGTACTTGGATTAAGAGATTGTGAGTTGCTTTCGATTCCGATCATTTGCGATTAGAAAACGTCTGCCACGTTTTTGGCTTTACTTTTTGAAACATTTTACTCAAGTTGAAAGTGCTGAGGTCTTATATAATCTACAGAGTATTCCTCTCGTGGTGTGCCTGCCTTTTAGGTATGTATTACTAGAATTTTGATTACTATTGTATAACTTTATCATTTGGCTATGCGGCTCTGCTTTAGGTTGGTATATGCTTATAAGAATATTTTTGCTTGTGGATATTTATATTTTGTACTTTCTTCGCATTATGTTCACTATCACTATTCGTTTGAATGTCTCCAATACCGTAATTTCTCGTCATGTATTATAATGTCGTGGTAACACCTTTTAGCTTGGGGACACGTTTCGCAAAGATAATTGTGTCGTCTCTGGCCCCCCTGAACACCAATAAAGTGTATCGCACTGAGCGATTCAAGTCTGGAGAGCCGTTGTTTTCTTCCTAACCGAGAAACACCCACTATATCCAACAACCCCTGAGAGTCTCGCTACATCTTGTCGCCCAACTGTGCCGCTCGGTTTTTTGGAACGATGGTACTTTCCAAAACTCCACCATATCCACTGAGAAATCGTGTCCTGCACAATACAGAGGACCAAAACGGGGCTGGAAGTGCTGTTTATACAACGCCAACAGCGAGAACGGGTAATCTGCAACAAAATCAACAGACAGAAGGTAACATTTTTCAAAATTTTCCTGTTCAAAATGAAGTGCAAGCCGATGTACTTTTTGTACCTGGACAATCGATGCCAAACATTCCTACCAGTACTTCACAAGGGGCTATACCAAAAACTACGGGTTCAGCAACAACAACAACTTTTGTCCCAGAATCTGAAAGTTTAGGAAGTAGTTTGTTAAATGAGGGTCCAGGCCAAATGAACAAAACAAGTCAAAGTTTGCATTCAGATATAGCAAAAATTGTTGAAATTGAAATTGCCAAAGCTTTTCAGAAACTCAGTACTAGTGACATGAGAGAGGCAAGAAATTTTGGAAGCTATTCTCAGCAAAATGAAAATAATAATACTCACCCTGTGTTTACTCAAAGTCAACAAGGAAATCCTGGCATGACAGGAATTTTTTCCCAAAATCCAAATTTTCCAAATTTCCCAAAAAATCAAACATGTGCAATGCCTAGTTGGCAAGATCTTGGTAAATCTCATGTCACTACCCCTTTTCAATTGCCAAGTCTGAGTACTACTACCCAAAACGCAGGAAATCTAGCACAAAATAGGCAAAACATCAGTTTAGATTTGAAAAGTTGTCTAGCATCCATACCTCCGTTCAGTGATGAAAATCAAGTACATCCAGTCGATTTTCTAAATTTCCTAGAAAGTTCTGTTGACGTTCATAATATAAACATGCATCAATTTGCTTTACTTACACAAAATTTATTCCAAAGATCAGCTAAAATTTGGTTCGAAGCATACATTCAAACTTTTGCATCATATGCAGACTTCAGAGCAGCTTTTCTTGACCAGTTTTGGGGCCCTACAAGGCAACAAAAAATTAAATTAAAATTGGAAACTGCTCGTTATAGGGAAAGTGATGGTGCATTTGTAGATTATTTCAACCACTATGTAGCAATGGCAAAACATTTGCAACCAACCTATACAGCTACGCAATTAATAAGCACAATTGCCCGTCATTTTCCTCCCAATATATCAGCAACTCTAGTGGGAACTCAGAATCTTTTAATGGCCCTAGATCGGCTGAGGCAAGCTGATCATTATTTTAACAATAATAATTTTTATCCTGAAAGAAGAAATAAGAATTTCGGTGATACAGATCATCAACAAGTGAGGGCGAATACCAACCATAATAATTATCCAAGTAGAAATTTTTCACCAAAAAATAAAATCGCACATATGGATATACAGGGTACTACCGAAAATCATGAAGAAAATTTGGGAAACGAGTCGGACTCCCGTATGTGAGCTCAAATATGGGAGCTATACTTAATAGAGCTCAGCCTAAAATAGATATAAAAAATAATCCCATCGAAGATCTCACAGAAGAGTGTGGTTTTGAACACTCACCTGTGGAAACTCGTTCGCCAATAATTTCAGTCAACCTTTTTGACCAAGTTTTCCCTGCCATGGTTGACACTGGTAGCACCGTCTCAGCCATATCAGAAACAGTTTGGCTACAAATTTCTGAATTTCATAAACTTATTCCCACCTTTCCCTGTACAGGTGTGAAAGTGATAGGAGCCTTTAAGGGTAAATTTCAGAAAGTTACTTCACAATTATTATTAAAACTCACTTTGCAGGATCAGAATTGTTCACATGAATTTTTGCTGATTCCTAACCTATCTTTTCCTATAATTTTAGGGGTAGATCTACTTAGGGTGTATAAGGCATCCGTAGATTTGCAAAAAAGGGGGGTTTACCTAAAAATAAATTCAGAAACCCTGTTTATTCCTGAAATGCCACATAAACATGAGCATGCGGATTTACAAAGCATGAAAATTGAACGTTTGGTGAATAATTCGTTGAAAAAACTTACCGGATCTGAGAACCAAGAAGTGTTTGGACCATTGGTTCAAACCGGAGATTTTAAAAATGTACTGTCCTTATGTAAAGTCTCAGAACCTGAAAAAGAAAGATTTAAATCCTTACTGCTGAAATATCAGCATATCTTTTCGAGTGTCCCTGGTAGAACAAGTTTATACGAACATGAAATCAAACTTAAAAAAGAAGGAGGATTTTTTGTCAAACCCTACCCCATCCCCGTAGCTCACCGAGAAGCTGTCCAAAATGCCATCACCCAAATGGAAGAGTGGGGAGTGATTGAACGAGCAAGTACCTGTTATGTATCACCCCTCATGACCACTTTGAAAAAAAATGGACAAATTCGTATTTGTCTGGATGCCCGTCGCCTCAATTCGGTTCTAGAGATGGACGGGGAGCTTCCCCCACGAATCGAGGATATTGTACGAGCGCTCGGTGGTAAAACTTTTTTATCTAAAATTGATCTTTCCCACTCGTACTGGCAGCTCCCACTGAAAAAGGAGCATCGTAAGTACACAGGCTTCATAGTTGGAACGAAGACATACCAATGGACGGTTCTGCCTTTTGGTCTAGCGACAGCAGTTAGTTCCTTCACCAGGGCTATGGACACCATCTTTGGGAAAGACTATTCCGACTTTTTAATTACTTTTGTAGACGATTTATTAGTAATGAGTGAAAGTTTTGAGCAGCATTTAACCCATCTTGGGAAGGTCTTCGAGAGGTTACGTGCCGCTGGCTTCACGATCAAAGAAGAAAAATGTCAATTTTTCCAACAAACCATGTCGTTTCTAGGTTATGTCGTAGGTCCACAGGGCATCCAGATTGACCCAGAGCGAGTGCAGGCATTGAGGGACTATAAAGTGCCACAGAATGTTAAAGAGGTGCAGAAATTCCTGGGGCTGTGCAATTACGACAGACATTTTGTGCAAAAGTTTGCTGAACTGTCTGAGCCCTTGACAAAGTTGCTGAGGAAGAAAACTCCCTGGATTTGGGGCCCCCAACAAGAAGCTGCTTTTCAATCTCTTCGAGAAGCACTGGAAAAAACTACCTTGTTATATTATCCCGATTTTTCAGCTACTTGGCATGTGGCAACAGATGCCAGCGACCACGGTATTGCAGGTTGTTTGTACCAGATTATACAGGGTCGAAAACAAATCGTGGCTTGGGGTAGTCGTCTCCTTCTGGACCGAGAACGAAATTACCATGCCAACGAAAAGGAGGTGTTGGCAGCATTGTGGTGTATCCAGCGCTGGAGGACATATTTACTTGGAAGAGAGTTTGTTTTACACACGGATAGTCGTACCTTGACATACCTAAATTCCTGTCGGCTTCTGTCCCCACGTATAACCCGCTGGGCTTTAGTTTTACAGGAGTTTTATTTCCGAATTGAACATGTTGCAGGGAAGGAAAACTTCGTTCCAGACGCGCTATCCAGGTATGCTTGCGCACGTTTGCCTACTCCC